TTGCTGGAAGTTGTATTTTTATGAACATTTGTAATATATGTGAAATTGTAGAGCCAAATGAATAAGGCAAAACTCAACATGCACGACATGTTTTGTGTTTTGTGCTGGTATCTACAGTATGTGTGCGCCTCAGTCAACCAAAGCCATGCAAACTGTGTCCTTTGCACTCTATGTCCTTTGAACTCATATTGGAGCCTGCTGTTCAGACTTTGTCATATGTGCAGAGAAAGCCTGTTTAAGCTATATAACTATTTAGAGTGGCTTTGAGTCTCCCTCTTATTTAGCATGTGATTTGTCTGGGCAGCGTGAGAGCATGTGACAACGTCTGTCCCACGCCAAAAGCCTTTTGGCTTTTAGTGTGACAGATGTACACAGGTATGCCAAGATATTTGGCATCCTTGTCCCAGCTGCAGGACACCCTGAGGGGAAAACATGTCATCTCTCACAAAAAGTAAACTACACATAGTAACTCATACAGTGAGGTTGTAACAGCTGCATTGTGATTGCTGTCATTTAGGCATCTCTGTTGTAGTCATGGTAAGGTAAGATAAGGTAAAGTAAGGTAAGGTAAGGTAAGGTTGTTTTTTGCGACTTGTGTGACCACTTATCACACAGCCAGTGTTTGTGCAAACTGAAACATCACAGTTAATTTGAAACACACAGTGAGTGACAGGGTGCACATTTTCATGATTTAACAGCGTGTTGTGTCAACAGTGTCATTTAATTTTCATAATTTGAGGAAGTGACTGCATTTTAATTATAACAGTAGATTGCCAGTTAATAAGGTTGATGTACCACAATAAAAAAGTTTTTCAAAATTTTGTCTGTTTTTTTTTTTTAATGGGACAGCGTCAGATTAACGGCAGAAATCAACTACTGCTCATGTCTGAAAGAGTTTAACGCTTAACGTTTAAAGGAGTTTCAATTCAAGCCTTTTATGATCCCATAAACGACTGCTTTGAAGAAAACTCATAGAGACAATAAGAATCTCAATCACATTTTATTGAGCCTAGTTCTTGCAATAAGGAGGCATCAGGCTTAATGAAGTGTAGCCTCTGTTACAGGATATTAAATTTCCTCTTCCGTCAGCAAAGGCTTTTTTCCTGATAGAGACTTCGAGCCCTTTTCTGTAGAATGAAAGAGCTGCATATTATAATATGTGCTGACATTTGCCACTGAAACACATTTCAGACCACAACTGAAAGTGCGGTTTGATTTTCAAAAAGGTGTAATGATAGTGCATGCTACAAAAGTCTTCATGGTTCAGGTACTGTCAGCATTCAATGTTGTATTTGTGAGGTATTTACCAAAACATACAGTTTTTACTTTTCAGAAATATAAGGCAGCACACGTTCATTAAAATAGGTTTTGCCATCAGTCCCACACACACACACACACACACACACACACACACACACACACACACACACATGGTTGATGTGATCTACTCACCAAAACTGAAAAAAATAATAATGATAAATGGGTTTCTGGAATAAGATAACTCACCAGCAAATTAGATCAGACCCAGAGCCAAACTGAGTCCCGCTGCCCTCCACATTGTGCCTTGGTGTTACTTTTCATGAAGAGAGTCTCAGGCTGTCATGAGGCTGAAAACAAGTTTTACAGCTACCTGTTCATACCTTCCCTGAGAGAGCTCCTCTTTATACTGTAGTTGAGTTATGCAAAATTTAAGTATCCCCTTCCCTCCCTGGGACAGTGGGGTCAATATTATACTTTATGACAGGATGGAAGTTTGTCTATGTGTTAGAATTGGCAGAACTGTGATTAGAGATTGGTGATGGAAGATGCAGTTTGCTCTCTGTGTCTCTTAAACATGTCTATGAAGGATAGGTATTATAAACCAGTAAAAGCTCAGTCGTAGAAATATGCACCATGATATGAATTCACTTATATCATTTGTACTGGTGGACATATGGTATCGTATGTCATATCATCACATCAGTGCACAGTGAGTTTCGGTGCAGCTGAATGTGAAAGCCCCCTGTGTGAGACGCAGGTGGTAGAATCGAAAAAGACACTGAATGACAGAAGTGCCCAGCTCTACCCACCCAGGCCTGGCTTACAACCCATTAATGTGTTTGCTGTTAGAACGCACCAGGAATCAAGCCTGTGGTGTAAAGGTGGAAATTACAAATCAATAGGTTGATTCGAATTCACTTAAAGATTCATAGCCCCTGCTAGGACGTTAATTCCCTTTCTATCTAAGCAATATGAATGCATTCATTCACTGCCCTAAGCCACTGATTTGGTCAATGACAATGATGATTCAGTATAGTCAGTTCACTTTGAGGATGTGGTGTTCAAGATCCATACTCAGCACTCCGCCACGCTGTTCTGGTAGTTTTGTGGATCTCAACTGGATATGAGAGTTGCTTTCATTGTGTTGTCCTGCTGTAAATCCAATATCTACTTTTAGGAGTCTGTCTGTAGATACTTGATTCTGTAAGCTAGTCTCTTTCTGCTATGCAGGTTGTATTCAGTTTGTTTTTGCCAATGAAAGGAGCTCAGACTTAACCAAACAGCAGGACAATAAGATATGAATTCTGCACTGTAAAGGACCATTTCACATTACATTGAATGTTTTTTTTTTTTTTCAATATTACCATAAAAATGTTAAAAATTAATATCAGACAGGCTTAAAATAAGAAATGTTCAACCATTTAGTAAAGTCAATGAGCAATTGTGGTCATACTTAGTTTTTTCAGATTTCAACACTGACTGATGGCTCAGTCTGAAAACACTGCCTGTGTGTGAAAATGACATGCATCCACTCTAGCAATTTTGGGATTTTTTTTTTTTTTTTTTTTTTTGTAAATGTCATCCACTCTGAAACACCAAAACAGCATAGGTCTCATCCTCTTCGTCCCCTGCGGCTGTATGTCACAGGTATCACATGGTGAGGAGTGGGACAGACAGAGCTCGGTTACTCTGCTCAGTCTCAGCTGGACAAACCGCCACTCTGTCCCCTCCTGTGACCGTCTTGTGTCAGACCATGTCCCCACTCATTTTTCTGTCCATATTGAAAGAGACTGCTTTTTCATTGCTTGAAAATGAAGCTTTTCATAAATGCTCTTCAGATAGGATAAACACAAATATACTGCTCAGGGAAAACAGCTTTTAGGAAACAATGCCACATCCTGCACTGATACAATCAGGGTTTTTTATTTTATTTTTTTTTATGGCACTTAAGTCAGGAAACCAACAGTCTCTCCCTCTGTCGTCCACACCCTAAAAGCTATGGGTGTGGCACATTTTTCTTGTGAAATAAAAACATGACTGTACCTCCAGCTCTGGTAGAAAACAACATCATTTTATCCAGAAGCTGAATTATAACAGCTGCCTTGTTAATATGATTAATTCCATACAATAAACAAATAAATCCAAAATCAGTTCCACCATCAGTTCTTGACAATTGTTTTTTCGTTTGCCACATTATAGTGAATCAAGTGATGCCGGACTCAGACTTTGGCTTCATTTAAAGTTGATAATGAAGGCCGAAAATTTGAATTTCTTAGTACCACTCTCTAATGAGGTATAGTCTTCCACCTCACTTTATACGTGTTTAAAACAGCTTGATTAAATAAGATTCTGACTGTATTGTTTTTACATCAAAAGTTATAAAATGGTTGATGAGTGAATGGATTGTGGTTTGGACGCTCCACAGCCCTTTTCATAGTTTAGTGGTTAAACGGTGCTCATCAACACGTACATGCAACCATGGCAAACCAAAGAAAATGAAAGCTATTATGAAAAATTTAATAAATCTTTTATTAGATTATAATCTAAAAATTTACATGTCAAATTCACAAGTCAAAACATGGAGCTGTTGGCTGATCCTCACCATGAGATCACTACAATATATAATATGTGTGACCACAGCAACAAAATGAAAACAGTTGGGATAACATTGGAGGTGTCCTATGTTTGGGTTTTACAATCTTGCTCAGACAAAACAACTCTGCTCCAGCTGGCACAATCCAAAAAAATAAAAGTTTTTAGGAATGATGGAACTGTTTATTTTAACTTCTTCAAAGTGTTTTTATAAGCAACAGTATTTGAAAGCTTGTGGTTTATGATTTCAGAAGTGCTGCCTGAAAAAATGTAGACCTTTATATAACAGCAGTGATGCACAATTCATGATATTATTTTCTTAGTTGTAAAATATTAACCACTCAGTTCTTGTGCATGTTTTTCACTGTTTGCAAGAGTCTCTCCTGGACACATGAAGGCGCCATTTCTATGCACACGAGAAGCTGAATAAGAAGTTATTAATGGCTGATGTTGTAAACCTTAAATTTGAAATAAGGTACACTATCTTTGCCACGAGCTCAACATTCAGTCGGATCTCAGGGTTGTTATTTAACGAGTGGTGCAGAGAAGCAGGTCAGGGCGCAACGATTTCAGACTATTTATAGTTTTTGAAACAGCTCAAAAATATGTCTTAAACCTGGCTTTTTTATCCAGCGCTTCAAATACCCGCCTGCAGACAGATTTGGACACAAGTGCAGTTTTTTTTTTATTAATATCCCCAAAAGCCAACACGGGGGGCTCTCCGTTGCCCTGTGTGTGAGCTTCGCATCCTCGCATTTCCATTACGCACAGGAGAGCGCTCACATGCCTTCTGGACGAGCTCTCCTGGCAGAATGGAAGAGCCTCGGTGACTCATGAGGACCATGAGGACCAAATGGAGGACGGCGGTGAAACGCGAGCTCCTGCTCTCTCCATCACCTTCGACATGAACTTCTTCAATTTCCCTGCGTGCGTAAAGTGTATTCATTTTATATGTCACGGCTCGCGTCCTGCAACTGCTGCTCCAAAGGCGTGTGGAGTGTGGCTTCGTACCCTGAAGAAGTTCCAAGAGTCCCTCCAGTAAATCCCTTTTTGAATTTTTGTTCTATGAATATTTATTATCATCATTATTATCATTTTCAAGTCAACACTGGAGTATCCCCTGCACAGCCGCTGCACCCTGAGGGGAGATGGATTTAGAGGTGAAGGGTGTGAACGGGTCGAACTGTTTGTCCCGGAATGAGAGCGACGGCGGACTAAGCGCTTCTTCCAGTGGAGTGTCCACTGCGCTGGCCAGCGTGCTGATCTTCACCATAGTGGTAGACATCCTGGGCAATGTCCTCGTCATCCTGTCCGTGTACAGGAACAAAAAGCTCAGGAATGCAGGTGAGAGATAAAGAAAAGATAAAATGTTGATTTTGAAACAGACCCACAGAGCAGAGATCTGTTTGTTTTTTGGTGATGTAAATAAATGATGGAGGGGTGTATGTTGGGAACAAGCAGATACTAACAATAAAGCTGGGAAAGTTATTATTATTGTTATTATTTTTATTTGATCCATTTTTTGTGAAAGAATTTCAGAAACAAAAATGACTTTTTATTCATTTACATCTGGCCAACACCAAAAGGAAGAAATATTTGTTTATTGGCGTTGCTTCTGTATATGGGGTGTCCTGCTTTCCCCTCTTCATTCATAACTAATTATGTAATATAACGTGTGACCTCTGCTGTTTGGTAATCAGGCTTCTGTCTAAAGTGAGCTTCCAGACTCAATTTGATGGAGTTTCCACAGCCTTGCCTGTCTGCCTTCATATCTCTTCATAAATAATAACACCCTCTTCCCTCCATCTGGCTTTATCCTTGGTTTCTCCCTCCTAGATAAATAGCATCCCTCCTTCTATCAGGACCTGTAGTGTGCCATGAGCTGCCAAGGTGAGAGAAGCTGTTGTGTAGCTTCTGTGTCCTTTTTGTGCAGGTGTCAAACACAGCCTTATATTTTGTTGTTACATGTGATGTGTCCTGACAGCAGGGTGGAGGTGAAGAAGATATTTATTACGATCACTTTGATGTCATCTTTCTTTCCTGGCAAATATGCATTCAATTGCCCCCTTTCCTCTCTAGACTTTAGCTGTGTCAAATGGTCACCAAGTCAGTTTTTGTCATGTCCAGTGCCTTGTAATGTACAATGTTTTCTAAAGTCTGTTCTCATGAACTAATAAGGGAATATACAAAAATACAAAAATTATTTGGGAAGGGGCCATGGACTTGTTACTAATGTAAAGCAGTTGATTCTCCTGCCCACAATATCAATTTCTGAGAAACACAGACTTGGATCCTTTTATTAATCAGTGATTGAATGTAACCCTCCAAACAGCATGTCATCTTTATAAACGTTCTTTTGTAAGTTCCAATGTGTGCGTTAGTGTCTCTTGTGAAAATGATTCCATTAACACATTAAAGTCAGTTCATGTAACTTTTCGAAGGAAAAATATGACAGTATTCCTTTTACAAATGAAAAGTTGATGGCGCTCAGTGGAGCGCAAATCTCTGCCAAGGCCAAACAATCCTACACATGTCTGTCAGATCCAGATTGTAAAAACTCCTAGATCTCAACACCATAAATATGTCTTTTTATTACATCAAGATCCGTACATTATTACTTGAGAAGTTGGCAAAAGTCTTGAGAAACACCTCATCTCACAGTGTTTAAGAAAGTGAAAAACTGATTAACCGGAAAACTAAATGGGTTCTTCCCTGGCTCACGCCTCATCCTTCCCTCCAAATCTGGTGCCAATCAGTTCAGTACTTTTTGCATAATCCTGCTGACATACAAACAGACGCGGGTGAAAACACAACCTCCCTGGTGGAGGTAATAAAATGCACCCGTGTTCTGTGTTTTGCTGTTTTGTTCTGGTATGACAAGCAGCTTTTGCTGGCTACCGTTAGAAAACATTAGCAAACTATCAATGCTAAACTGAGTCTATTCACTAAATGTTTAGCTCTTTTCTTCTTCTGTTATGTATGTCACACGTCACAAGTAAAACAAGCAGTGAACATACTGCAGTGTAGTGTAACTCTAAGATTTAAAATGCTTCTTTTATTTATTAATACTTGAGTGAGCTGTACCAATTTAAGGCTGTTATATTATTTTTCAGATATAACAGGGAGGGTGTTGAGTTATAAGTCCAGCAGGGGCTCTAAAGAAAACAACTTTTTGAAATATCTTTTTAAAAAAAAACAAAAAAAACACAAGGATCAGCTCTCCTTCCCACCATAATAACTTCCATACAGTCCCTAAATAAATGCATATGCAAATCCTCGTACCTAGCAGGTCCAGGGTTAAAAATAAAGTCAGGAAAGTCCTCTGCTGAGGCAAAAGACTAAACTCAGCGATCACAACATGATGCTAATGAGAACATGAGGAATTAGGCAGCAGGATTAGGTCAGCCAGTGTTTGGAATAATGAGTTTTTAATTACAATTTCAAATACATTACATAACACTTCCACTGTTCTCCTATGTACACCAGCCAAAAGCAGTTTGGCAAGAAGTTTAGAAGCCTGAAGGATAATTTGATTATCTGGTTTGCAAAAAAAATGACAGTTGACTGGTCTCAAACAAAAGGTTAAGGGTAAATGGCCTGTTCAAAAGTCTTCCTCTCTTCCTCGACTGTGGACACTGCACTGATTGCAGATCTCATGTCACTGTTCTCCTGCTCTAATTGGACTTTCTGGCAGATCCAGTCACACGAGAGTCCTCAGCAGCGTTGTGTCGATCCTCCGCTAGAAGCTTAGAGCCTCCCGTTCCATCTCATGCTATAATTCTGTGTCCTTCAGGGACTGAATTTGTTATTGCTGTTAGCCTATCAACAATCTCCTCTCTGTTCTTAACAAGCTATTTATAGGTTTGGCTCACTTTGTATGAATGTTTAATTGTATAGACTTTTCCGAGAGCAGAGCATGGACACAGCTGAAGAACAGTGAACAGCTGTGGAAAACCTGTCTGACATAAAAAATCAGTTTCTATGATAGATGGGTGTTTTGTGTGTGTGTGTGTGTGTGTGTGTGGGGGGGGGGGGGGGGGGGGGGTAGTATAATCGAACTATAATTGTTGTAGTATAATACAACAACATATTCTGGGTACTACAAAAGGTTTATGATTTATGACTTACAGTTGGTAAAGACTAACTCAGACATATTTTTGCAGAATCTGGCGTGTCAGACAGACTGCTGAAAACAAAATCCCATCTCCTCTGTCCATTACACACTATTCTAACTGCTGGTTTGCTACCTCACACACAGCAGCAGGACCCTTCCGCTCTGCTTAACTTCAACACACTCGCCTTGCACGTTGCCTCATATATCCCTCCGCTATCCACCCCAAAAAAAAAGCAAAACAAAAAAAAAAAAACGTGTGCACATTTAATAAAGATGCTGGTGCATCTGAGTGACAATACATTTGTAGCCTGATATCTTCATATATTTTTGGGGAGAATTGAAGACCCATATGTTCCATCTGCACAGGTTTGCAGGTTCTATCACGCGTGCAAATGTAATAGGATCTATCCAGCGAGTCTTCAAAGGGTAGAGCATGGCACTGCAGGACTGCCAATGGGGTGTTAACACTAGAGTTTTCCACTGGGGGTTAACCATACTAAAAATACACTAACAAAATGCACTCATGAGAAAAAGAGAGAGGAGGGGGCAGAAAAAGAATAGAATGAAGTGGAACAGATGGAGGAAAGAATGAAATATGACCTGTGTGTGTGTGTGTGTGTGTGTGTGTGTGTGTGCGTGTGTGTGTGTGCAGCTTGCACCTCCACGTCAGGAGCTGGGGGGTCATGGGGGTGTGTAAGGTTGAGGATGGGCGTGAATTTTGTTAAATCATGCATCGCATCCAGTCACTCTCCAGTCATGAATAAAACCTAGAAACTGGAGTGTCCAGAGGGGGGTTAATTGAGTCAGTGGACTTGGTGAGTCAAACCAGAAGCCGATTTAAATTGACAGCGCAGATCCACGGGGAATATCACTTAGCACACTACATTAAACATGTCGTCTTTTCCTGACAATAAAATAGCGGATGACATTTAGTCTGCTCGTGTGGGAGGTGCGGAGGTAGGACATTATCAGATTAGGATTATTGGAATAAACCACACCTGGATAAGGTAAATGTAACCTCAAGTGTGCAATACTTCTAGTCTTTCGCTCCACTGTAGGAGGATGTTTTGTCCCTAATTCACCATCGTTCGTACGTTTCTGGGATTGCGGCTACAGAGTGAGACGCCGTTGCACCAGACGCTGCTTGTGTCCTGACGGTCTGATTTCTCCCAGGGCCAGTGAGTCTTATTTTCTGAGACATTGGGGGTCTGATTGGTAGATGGTCTTTGATGATGACGATGATGTTTTTGGCCGGGCTCATGCAGGCTGCATCACCAAAAGGCAGCTCCTGTCAGTTTAATGTTAAACTTCTTAGAAAAAAATTCTCTGGCCCCTTGAACACGAGTTCATGAAGTAGTCACTACTAATTCATCAGCGTTAATGCCCTTGCCGAAAGGTTACTCTTGCTTATTTATGATAACACGACTGACTCAGTCGAATGTAATCTAATTTGGGATATGCACTTGTAGTAATAAGCCTCGTGCCGCTGACATTCAGCCGGATTCAAGCGATGCCAGCCCTCCTACACATTTTTTATGAATTCATCTTTACTTCAAAGGTGTATAAATATAGCCGGGTGAATCAAAGCGTAGTATATCACGTTTCCAGCATGAGTGGTGGGATACAGATGGTGGGTTTGACAGAGGAACATAAGCCCTTGAGATTCACATGTGCACACAGCAATGCAAGTTGTCAGATTGAAAACCGACTCGGCCGGCAGGCTTTTGTTTTGTCTTTCGGTTTGTTTATCTCCTGCACTTCATTATGTACCTATTCCTGCTCCACCATGCCTCCTCTCTTATTTCCAAATTTGTTCTTTTTACTATTCAAAACTATTCAGCTGGAATGGAGCAAATGTGCCATAAATATGCCTACATTTTATACAGAGCCTATTTTAATACATATGCAGGTTGGTATAATGGAAGGGGAGGATGTGAGGCACTTTCTGTCTGACATATTTTTGAATATGCTGCATCCTGGTGTGTGCTGGATGATTCTGGTGACAAATATCCTGTTTCACTCACGCAGAGCTGAATATTTCTCTGCTGTATGAGTTTTCATTCATGTTTCATCTGCCAAAAAAAAAAAAAAAAAAAGTTGTATGTGACAGACAAAGAGAAAGAGATGCACTTGGAGGAATTCAGTGGGTGGTCGCTCAGCTCTCGGGAGGAAACTTTAAAGCAAGAATCAGTTGATTTCATTTCACTGGGCTGACAGTTTTTGTGAGAGAATACTGAAACATCACATAATTACAGAGACAGTGGTGTCACAGAAGTTAAAGGCTGCGTGTCAGCTGTCCCTGATGGCTTGTAACCAATCAGCATCCAGGTTAAACTCTATTCAACTCACACTCGATAAAAATAGCTCCCAAAGATGTCAGCGAGCAAGACTCTCTTCCGGTACGCGGGCCTGAGAGTATCATCGTTGGTCGGCTGTTTTACACTAAAACAATAATCAGACTGAGTGCTGTGAGTTTGGACGTGATGAGCATCAGGCCGGCCAAGTTGGTTAATTGAACGGTGAGAGGTAGTGGGTTGTCCAGTGTTTTAATAATGAATACCAGCAAAACATATACTGTCATCTGGCCGCTTCACAGCAATCCTCTCAGCCTCTCAGTGTTTTAGCGCTTACCTCATCCTGTTGGTGATAACGGGGGAGAGAGGGTTCAGCCAGAGAGAACGTGCCCTGTCCAGACAGCGCACATGATAACACCGAGCCGCATGATGTCAGCGAGGAATCAAACCTCTGCACAATGACAAATGCACACAGTGAGTACTGTGAGCATCACAAATACAATCTGACAGATTTGCCCACTGAGCTGACTCGAGGATGAGGAGCAAATGCTTTTATTTTTTTTCGTCTCAGCAGGCTTGAGAGACGGCCCATGCTGTTTTAGTAACTTGAAATAAATTGACTCCCTGTGAATACCTGAGCCAGGTCTCTGGAAAAATGTGGAACCAACATCTTCTGAAATTAAAAGAAAATATCAGAGAAGACTTTGTTATTTTCTTTAACACAGTAAATGAATCAAGTTAGGCAAGTAGACTAAAATTAGGCCGGTTGCTAAACAACATACTGTAGCTGTGTGGTCCCGGGGGTGCAGGGATTGTAACAAGGCTTTGAACGCTGAGGATTGATGGCCAACATGTGTTTTAAATCCACTCCCGTCATATCTGCCAATCAACGCTGTTGTTTCAGCTGTTGTCTGAGCAAGTGAGAGCCTCATGCCTTCACATTTCAACTTCAGGAGGTGGTTTATGTTAAATTCACCCTGGAATCACCCCAACGTCTGACACAAAATGTTGTGGAAATGAGGCACATTATATATAATCCTTCGCAGATTATTTATTCTAACCAGTGATGTAATTGTGCCAGAGAAACTGGCTGTAAAATGAGCAGTAAGACGAGCAGTGGGGAGTCATATATTAAGATTTTTATTGTGCAGCTTTATTCAGATGTTACTTCTCACTATCATGTTTTATTGCTAAAAAGCTGGGTAAAGTTAAACGGCAGCAAACTCTGGACAGAATCTCCACTTCGTCACACCTCAACCTTTACTCTGAAAATGTGCAGCTCGCACACACAATAGAGCCTCTATTGCACAGCGTCTACTCAAAATGTTTGTGAAGCTCATTCTTCTTTTTGAGAAACACTAGTTCAGCTGCATTATGGCTCCAGTGTATGTTCTTCTTATCTGACACAGCATTACAATTTGATTTATTGTTTTATTCTCCCCCTCCCCAGAACAGCTGCACTGTTACAATATCAGACGTCATTTTCAATGATTCATGTCTTCTGAGGAGATCCAGTGTCACACTACCATCAGCTTAGACCTCCGGAGGACAGGAACTTGTTTGGATGTAATCAGACGTTAAAATTTCCCATGTCTTGGTTTTTATGTGCTTCAACTTTGTGTTCAGCTGTCTGATGCCAGGGGCGAAGAAGCTTTGAAACAAGAACCGCTTGATATGAGCATTTTATTGCGATGGACTGACAGAAATAAAAAAAAGCACTGTTCTTACAATTATTCTGTTGTATCCTTGACTAAATATGTTGGTGTATGCAGAAAAGACTAAGCAGCCCACAACCATGCTGCTGCTCTGTGAGGCTGCAGTTATATACACAGCGCATACCATGGGAATACTTGTTAAAATATTTCACTCAAAACCATTCATGTGAACCTCATGGTAGCGCTAAAGGGAACGTCAGAGGATCACCAAAGTCAGTGGGACTCATCCCCTGGGCGCCATGGATATATGTACCAAATTCCATGGTAATCCATCCATCCATCCATCCATCCATCCATCCAGCTGTTGATATCTTTCAGTCTGGGCCAAAGTGGTGGATTGGCACCACTACTATGGCTAAACATGTTGGTTTTAAAACCAGTTACCATGAGAAGAAAAGGGGTTGTGACATGGAGAGCTGTGACAATACAACACTCGCCTGGATCCAGATTAGTGCAGTGGAGAGTACATGGTAAAAGCCTCACCAAAATGAACCCAGTGAAGGGGCAGAGGGCACAATGAAGTTGCTCTTTTATGATCATACCTCCAGTGACCCAGTTTATTTTAAGAAATTTAACCCGGAGCGGTAGAGCTGTATGCTTTAATTATACACCAGTCTGGGACACGTTTTTGTCTGTTGTCTAAACCTCTTCTGTTTCTCCAGGCAACATCTTCGTGGTGAGTTTGTCCGTAGCAGACCTGGTGGTGGCATTGTACCCCTACCCTCTGGTCCTGACAGCCATCTTCCACAATGACTGGACCATGGGTGACCTGCACTGCCAGGCCAGCGGCTTCATCATGGGCCTCAGCGTCATTGGCTCCATCTTCAACATCACGGCAATCGCCATCAACCGCTACTGCTACATCTGCCACAGCCTCCACTACGACCGTCTGTACAGCCTGAGGAACACCTGCTGCTACCTGGGCCTCACCTGGCTGCTCACTGCCCTCGCCACAGTGCCCAACTTCTTTGTCGGCTCGCTACAGTACGACCCCCGCATCTACTCCTGCACCTTCGCCCAGACGGTCAGCTCGTACTACACCATCTCTGTGGTGATCATTCACTTCCTGATCCCGCTGCTGGTGGTGTCTTACTGCTACATGAGGATATGGGTGCTGGTGATTCAAGTGAAACATCGGGTTAAACCGGAACAAAGGACCAAACTGAAACCGAGTGATGTGCGGAACTTCCTGACTATGTTTATGGTGTTTGTGTTGTTCGCAGTATGCTGGGCTCCACTAAACCTCATAGGCCTGGCCGTAGCTATAAACCCTGTGAAGGTTGCACCCAACATCCCCGAGTGGCTCTTCGTCACAAGCTATTTTATGGCGTATTTCAACAGCTGCCTCAACGCCATCATATATGGGCTTCTAAACCAAAACTTCCGCAAAGAGTACAAGACGATCCTCCTCGCTCTTTGCGTCCCGCGTTTGCTCCTCATGGAGACATCCAGGTGTGCCACAGAGGGACTGAAGAGTAAGCCCTCGCCGGCTGCAACAAACAACAATGTAGCAGAGATAAATGTATAAAACATCTGCTTAAGATTAAGTGTCTCCGGTGCATCAGTTGTGGTTGTGTGCCATGATTCACCAAGTGCCTTTTCATGAGATGTGTATCATGTAAAGAGATAAGCACGTTTGGAGAGGACACTGCTACCACACGTATCCCTTTCAGCCATGTCGTACACAAACCGTTTCCTCATGACGAGAGGAAATTGTATCACCAGTACATTGTGTTCCTAACTGGTTAACAAGCAAGACAGAAAGAGTTCAGACAACTAGTCAGTATTCACCACGGAGGACCAGGGAGGGGAGTCAGCTCATACTGTAAAGCCTATTTTTGGATGAGAGACTTCACTTTTCAAGCCACATCCCAGCATGTGTACATCACATGCACTGCCTGTTTGCTCAGTTCAATCATGAGTACATCAACAACATAGTGAAAATGAAATAAATGAATTTTCTATCACCACAGTGTCATTGCGGTTTTAAATGCAACATTAATGATGGGAAAGCCTGAGGGTTTGTTTTTTCCCTTAGGTGAAATCCATAATCTAATTATAGATTTACACTGAAGCCCTTTCATTCAGTTCTCAGTCCAATTTTCAAAGAGTTAGGGCTATTATTTGGGTTTTTGTGATTGAGAATATTAAAAAATAGGCCGTGTGCCCATTAGGAAAACACATTTTAGCAGCAGTCTGGAGAAGTTTGAATCCTATAATTGATTTTCAGTGTATATGGATATCTAAGACTCCTTCTGTGTGGTGTGTATTAATTGACCGCTATGTTCCTTCACCCTCAGGCTTGTCTTCTGAGCAACGTTGCCCTCATAAAATACACTGGAAGATTGTGGAAGCTTTTGCTCTGGTTTCAGTTTGAGAAATTAGAAACAAGAACCAAAGCTAAGAACTGGCTTTGTGTGCTCATGGACAACAGACAATTATTCTGGTAAACTTTTAACTGTTTCAACTACCACATGTCAACTACCAATTTAGTCTTAAAAAAGTTCAAAGCCCGGGGCGTTCCCTCTCTGACCCAGGATGATTTAGGGAATTATGAAAAGTGGGAGAACAGATGACAAAACACAAAGCTAACTTTCTTGTTTATTAAATGCCCGGGGGACATGATACACATCAGGAGCAGGAGATGTAATTTTGTGATAGTGCGAGTGTGCCCGCGCACATGTCACCCTAGCCGAAATGAGCTCTGACAGCCTCCCAGCGTAACTTCCACCCGGCAAACAAACTATGAGCGGTTCACCTCACAGGGAAGCTCCAAGATGTCAATGTGACACATTCTTGACATGATGCACTGTTGCTGGAATATTAAAGACACTTCACATTCTCACTGTCTAATTGAAATGATTTATAAATATTCCCAGTATATTCCAGATCTACTTTCAAATAAATTTTCAGACTTTTATATTCCGCTGTGCTTTGCTGAATCTAGAAGCCTGGATAAACTGTCTGATGTCTGGCTAAATTAAAACCTCAGTGGATGATTATAGATGCAGGGATAGGAACCTGAATCCATGATGGATCTTGGATCAGCACAGGGAGAGTCCAGCTGTCTTGCAGAGTCAGGTGCCATCTATTTGCAGAGCTGCGAAATGCCACAAAACTGTTCAATTCTGCTTGCAGTCTTACAAGTCGGTGTCTCTGATGTGGAGGAAAGAAGCAGCCCACATGCCAGTGCAAGGTCAGCCACAGATGAGTGGCTAAAGGGGCTTGAGGGAGGATGACAGTGTCGGCTCTACAACACCAAAGAGTCAAAGACTAATGGCAGGGTCATTCTTCTTTTTCTCCCCCCTCTCACCTTCTGCTCTTCATTCTCTCATTTTCTTGCTCACCATACTCCTATATATTTATCCTGCTCTCTCCTAAGGCATCTGAGGTGTACCTTGACATTTTGAAAAATATGCGTCTTTTGCTTTCTTGCCAAGTGTAAGATTGATATTATATACAGTGGGTTCCAAGAGTCCAGAGACCACTTTCCTAGTATGGGAAGTTAGAGATGTTTAAAATGAATGAGAAATAGAAAAACACATATAAGCTTATAGAATTTCTATTGCCTATTTATATATGTATGTATCATTAACATGTGTGGTTACAACCTGTTATACCATATAAAATTCATCATACAGATATTTCTAATATATGTACATATACAAATATTTACTATGGGTATTTCATGTTATATGTTATAAACTTATATCTTCATATGTATATATGTGATAGTAATATATCCCCTTATAGTTTACATATGGCAACATCACTCTTGATATGGGGCACATTCTGTATATGTCATATATTACAATTCTGTATGGGCTGTCCAGCACACCACCCTTGAAAACCACTTTTGTAATTAGTGTTAATTAGTGAGATTTAGCTGCAGATGTCTTTATTTACTTTTTTATCTCTAGAAAGCATGAGATGAGCTGTTTACACCTGCATAGGAATTTTTGCACCAAACATATTGATAAAAAAATAGACTATGCACAAGTCATATTACTCAGTAGATAGACCAAAAGTACAATCCAGAGTCAAGGATGAATAGTTGAAATGACTGGTCTATCCACCCACACTGCCTGTCATTTTGCCAGTGATTTAATATGAAGGGCAATAGCTCGTGGAGACATTTTTCTTACGGTTATGTTCAAGGACAGCATGATCTATCCATGCCGCCCTACCCTATAAGATCCATCATAACTCATGACTTCATTTTGCCGATTCCATGTATATATGTGGTTCTGTCTCACTGTGAGTTACATTATCTTTCCAAGAAGTGTTTTCTCTGTTTTTTCTCACCGACATCAGCTTCATTTGCTTTTGCTTTAGCTGCTACTTTGTGTCTCACATGAGCTTTCAACAGCCAGGCCACATCATAAGTAACTATGTATTATCATATAGGGACATATCAGAATTTAATAACATAAATTATATGGTTTTATTGTCACATATCAGATCCAAAGCATACCTGTTTTATCTTTTGGAAATATATCAAAGAGAAATACAGTGCCCTGTGCAGCATCCACTTTATGTCAGTGAGTATTTATTGCCAAAAATGGACCAAGCACAGGGGGAACAAGGCGTAGACAGTTAAACTGGAGGCTGTGTGAGGGCATGATACTCTACTCCCTCCACAGCCGTGTTTTCACTTGCTTATTTTCTTCTCCTTCTCAATGGTATGTGAACAGGAGAGGCCTCGAAGAAACCAATTCTCATTTGTGGGAGATAAAGATTATTTCCACAACAGCAGAACCCTGCCACAAATGCGATTAACACAAAATGCATGAGCAATGAGACATTATATGGCCTAACACTAGTTTGACATGATGGTTTTCCGCCCGCTGGATGAAGCCAAACATAACACAACTCTTTGCACAGAGGAATTTCTACAGCTCTTGCACATCACTGCATTTTACAGCAGTGGGGTCTCACTGTGGGCCTACTGCCACAATAGCAAGTCTCCTAATGGATTTGTGCATCGGGTCTAGCACTGCCTGTGTTCTCATGCATATGATGTGTTCCTACATGTCCCAGTGGGCTCTGGGTCACAACACTACCAGGAGGTTTTAGGTGTCGTGGGTCCAAGGAAGCCAATGAGAGCAGGAAATAGGGATGATGGTGATTATTTGCGTCAGATTTCTTGACTTTATTTTTAGACTGAATCATATACAGTGGAGGGGATTATGGATGCATCTGTAAACTATTAGTTATTTGTACTTGACAAAATGTTCCCATGCTCCTTGTTTGCTGACACTAACTTCTGGTGTGTCAAGAAGTACTCAGATCTTTGATTTACAGTAAGTGAAAGTATCAGTACAACAAAAATATTCCATTGCAAGTAAAGGTCCTGCCATCACAATCTTATGTAGAGGTATTAATATACTGTATAATTACATGCTCTACAGAAAAATGGCCCCTCACATAGTCAATGATATTTATTCAATTATTAGATCGCTAATACTGATGAAACCACATAAACAGGAAGAAGCTTTTGTATCTGGAGATAGTTTTAACTACTCTATTTGCAGTTTGGCAGTCTAGTGGCTTTCAAACTAGGCTTCAGGCCTCCAGACGGTCCCAAGATAAATCTGAAGCATCGTGATTAATGGGAAATAATGAAGAAAAAATTGATGTGCAGCACATATTTCCATCAATTGTTTTCCTCTAATCTTTGCTTTTTGTGAAATAATCGATCATTTCAGCTCTTTGGACCTGGACCATATTTGTGTGAACCTCTCTGTTCTGCAGCGCAGAGAGCACTCAGTCCACAGAGAAATGCACACAGCCTGTATTCAGACACTGCGCCTTAAAACAAGCAGTCAGGACTTCTGTAACTTTGTGATGTCACAACAAAGCAGTCACCACTCTGCCCTAAGCCCAACCCACCTGGAACCACCATCCAACCTTGCAGGATTTGGTTTCTCTGAGTGTTTACCTTTAATCTACTATATTTTTTATTCAATTACTCAGAAAACAGTCAGCCAATCGGAAGAGAGGCTCAGAGCCTCTTCTCTTCTGATTCTTGCCGACCCGTTGTTACTAGAGCTCCAGAGAGAAGCCTGAGAGAGGAGATGTAAAACTACAATGAGATGGTTTTTGGTTCTTAAAACCGCAAATATATCTTCTTATGGATCAACACTTCAAATAAAACACTGGAAAAGTGTCAAATATGGGACCTTTAATCTGAAAAGAATATTTTCCTCTGAAATGTTGTAATGAAATGTTGAAAAGTATAAAGAGGCATAAAATTGAAAAACTCAAGGACAAGTACCTCAAAGCTGTAATTGAAGTACAGTGGCCTATTTGGTTACTTTCCACTTCTGCATGCCAGAGGAAACTACCAACTTATGAACTTGCTGACTTGAATTAATGCTGACAACAATCATCTCATCCTTTGCAGTAGTTGTAAATGCAGTGAATCACAAGGCTAAAAATAGCACTGAACTATTTTTAAAGTGCTTTATTCTCTGTCTCTTTTCAAATGGAAACTTCATTTACAGTAATAGTACCCATTACGACACTGAATATTTTCCGAAGGACGCCGTGTCGCTTGGTCAAAATAACAGGTGTGGCATGCAGGGTGCCTCGTCTTTGACATAGACCACTGGTGACAGGTGGAATGCAAAAGGCATAGCTAGGGGAGACCAGACAGAAGGAGCCGTGGGAAATACTTCGAGAAGGTCAGAGGTCGAGATCCATGAGGAAGGACAACCTAGTATTGAACTTGCAGCCAGAGACCCCTTGACCAGATCTACACACTGCTATTCAATTGAGAACATGGATTTTGTCAAGCTTCTATTTTTGAACCAGTTGTTTTATTAAAATTGATAATCCCACCATAACGAGGTGAACATGTGCAGCCACTGACTGCAACAGTTCTGTCCTCTAGGGTTTATGGTCTATTCCCAATGGTCACTGCAATAAACCATCAAATTAATTTTGAGTTTTGCATCTGTTTCCAGAGAAAATAAAATTCCAGCGCATTGGGAGGATGTACTTTTGACCTAGAATAATTGCTGTTTATGGAAAGAGGTCATTGCTTATTTTGTAATTGTTGCCAGCACTAATGATTGACATGAGATATTTTGTTGTACAATTAGAAAAAAGGGAAGTAACTTATGGGAGAGTGAGATTTTAAAACCACCACTAACATACAGTATAATGTGTTGAATGTTAGTCAGCAGCTCATAAACACAGGTATGTGTGGAACATTTTGCACGCGGTTGATCTGTTCTCTAGATACATTTGTCACACTTCTGTCATTTAAACTGAGAATAAATATTATTATACACAAGACATTTTGAAATGCACCTGCAATTCCTTAAAATTAACATCTGTATGCATTTGGAAAATTTGTCGACCTGATTATATTGTTTGTGATGTAAAATTAGGTTTAAGGTTTCAGAGGACCCCAAACCAAGCCACTAAAACATTTTACATTTAAATGAATGATTCCTCCTGCTTATAAATAAAAATAAATGTATTTTAATATAAACGAGGCAAGTCATCACACAAGCCTGTCTGATCTGCAGGTTGCTCTGAGTGAAAGAGGGTTTAAAACACTTTCCCATGCTTCCTGTTTGCAAAGTGCAACATCTAACAAAACTATAAAGGCAGAACATAATTTTTGAAATTGCTCTTGGTGCTTCATCCAGCAGCAAATCAGATAATAATACAATTCACTGTGACACTCCTCAGAGTCGGTGGCGTCTTGCTGGCTTCTTGTTGGGTAACAACTTGGGAGTGAAATTGCCACAACAAGCAAAATGATTATTTTAAACACATATCACTGGAGTGTTCTTAGTGGCTCCGGCTGGTCTCTTTTGAGTGTCTTTTCAAATGAAATGTGTTTTGGGGAACCTGCTGAGCGTGAGACCGGTGAGAATGAAGCCAACTGGAGCAGAAAGTGCCACTCCTTGACACTCGGCTAGGGAGACTTCAACCAGAAACACAGCCAGTGTACCGACACTAAATGTATATACTTGGCATGAAATAGATTTAATGGCTCTCTGTTACATCTGCAATTAAACAAGAAATAGTCTACAGTATTACATTATTCAGGAATGTAGGGGAACACAGGCATATAGGCGTACTGTATATGTGCATTGTGCATGTACAGCCACTGAGGACACTGATGTGATGTCATCTCATATTTTTATTCCACCAAAGTTATTTAAGACTGCAACAAATGATCCTTGAATAATGAAACTATATGTTTACTTCTATTTTAGATTGATTATGAATGGAAGAAAAGACAGTGATGTAAGTATGAGTGGACATTCATATCTTGATAAGAGGAAAACATACAGCTCACATTGTAACTAGTTGAACAGTTACACTTTTTTTTTTGTTTTTTTGGCTCTGAGCTTGAGCACATTCAATTAGAAATAAAATAACGATAAAGTGCCAGGTCTCAGTTTTAATTTGAGCAGGTTTACATCAATATAGAAAAAACTATGTGGGAGATATATACACAGATATATACCTAGACAAAATGTATACAATATTTTGTACTCTCCAACCTGAAATACTCTTTGGTTGCTTCGGCCATATGTCATCTGGGTGAATGATGACATGTCGTCCAAAGAGTTTTGATGCATTAGGCTGAATGTGAGCTCACATAAACAAAGATTACTCCTGTAGACCACTGCATTCATCCTGCTGGGAAATCCTCAGTAAATGTCAGTATGCCAGTTCCACCAGCATCCATACAAGCCCAAGCCATAACAGAACCACCACCATGTTTGTTTTTGTTGCTGAGGCTTAGGTGTTTGCATCTTGTGGTGAATCTCTGAGGTTTTATGGTCATGAAGTCTTCTCTTGAGTTATGCTGGAGAGCATTCTTGACTTGCTGTGCAGCTATAAAGATGTTTTTCTTCACCATGCGAATGAATTTCTGGTGATCCACATGAGTTGTGCTCCTCTGTCTACCTTTTCGTTTGACATTTTTTGCAAATTGCACTTTTTTTGTTAGAATTTACCCAACTGTTAAATTTAGCCTTTAATATCTTTCTGACATATTTTTGCTGTTTTTGAGCCACATCATCATCTTCTTCACTTGTCAGGTGAACACTTCAATCTAAATGGCAACTCTCAATCAATTCAGAGCCACATGTGAGCTCTTTTGTGAATGAACTTACATAATATTCAGTAGTGAAGTGTCCAATTACTTTTGAACCCTTGCAATTGAAGAACTATCTTTTAAAAAGGCAATATCCACACAGGGTTTTTTCTAAATATTGACATAACCTTCTAAAATTAAAGCTGAGAGATGGCACTTTTATGTGGGCCTATCTATTATTTTATTTTTAATTGAATGTGCACAGTGCGTGAAGAACAGAAGATGTACAACTGTTCAAATAGTTACGGTCTGGACTTTAGATTTTGAACTGTTAAGGATGGGTCTCACATTATAGAACTATGAGTATAAACATATTATTAAAAGATGTAGTTCTTGAATGATGAGGCAAGAGAGGCATGATGAAGCAATCCCTTGCAATGCAACTGCAATTTTATTATGTGACGCTGATTTGAGTTTCTTCTTCGGGGTATGATATTAGAATGCCCATATATTGCTTTAGGAAAATGTATAACAGATGTGTTTACTATCTACTACGAAACAAGGCTTGATTATTCAACAATCCAGACCAATAAAATTCTGTGGTTTCCCATTCAAAAAGAAAACTTTTACACAATCAGTCCACAAAAGGTGCAATGTTTACAGAAGTCCTGAGGAGAAATATTTAGAATGAAATAACAAGAATGATCAAATCCAGCTGGTAAAGAGGACACTAGGACCACTATTATGGTCCAGAATGAGATATCGTATATATCGTATATCCAAATAATACATTTCTACAAAAGCACTGTTGCAATCCAGTGAAAAAACATACAAATTTTGGCAATTAGAATTTTTCAGATTATTTTTGTGAATGATTAATGTTTCTTAATTGGTTGAGAAATTTCTGATATTCAACTTTAACAAACCATTTAACACCTTGCAGGATTATCTGACAAATGCCTTATCACAAATCTGAAAATGAACACACATTTTAATAACCCATGGTCCGTTAAAGCGGCTAAATGGAATTCAGCTAATCTTCGTGTTATTTACAACTGTGCGTTTCCTGCTGTGACGAGTCAAGAAGTCTGCTGTGTGAAAAACCTATTCCCAACATAGCTCTGCTCAACTTCCACCTGAGGGGAGGTGTAATCAGTCAGAATAAGTGAAAACATCTGTGTGGGTGTGTAGGGCCTTCAAATGTTATTAAAATATGTGCTCACCTTACTCTTTATTACTTTATTCTATTAATTTATTTTGTTTGATCACAGTATGTATTATAATAATCCCTGTATTGATATGATTGTTTGTATTCTAGAACGAAAAAATTTACGTTTCTTGATTGTAAAGCAGTTTCCATTCCAGAAGCAGGTGTCCAAGGTGTGGATTTAGGAAAATCCTCAGGGGAAAAATTGATTGATGAAAGATTGATTGAAAATCTATCTAATACTTTGCTAAAATAAACTTAGAGCCTAAATATAAACAATGCAAATCCAATAATACCAGTGAATTCTTCGAGACATAGTCTGGCAATAGTCAGCCAGGCTTTGACCATAAAGTCTGGCCTCCCAGAAGAAAGAAGTCAAGATATACTCTCCAAGATCCTAAATGAAACACTGTGTATGTGAGGAACTTATGATTAGCTTTTAACTGCCCACCTATTTTCCTCAAATTTGAATTCATTTGGATTATAGTTATGTAATTTCCACTAAAAAACAACCTTGTTTTTCACAAAATATTATTTATATTATTTTAATGTTTTTTATATGATATTTAAGATAAATTAAAAAACGCACATCTGTAGAATCAAAATATACAACACAACTATTATTTATCAATGCAATACAGCATAACAAAAAAACTGGCATGAATGGTCACTTAAAATAATATATAATATATATAATACAGGCATATACATTAATAATCCTACAATATAAGGGCTACAATAACACAACTTTGAAATGAGTATTCTAATGCATGATGTGTAATTTTGTACTTTACTTGTATTTCACTTTATTTCACTGTGAATCAAAGTCAGGCCCAAAGGAAAACTGCGAAAACAGAGGAGATACATCAACCCTTTTATATCCATTCTTTGGTTGATGCTACAGTCTGGCATCGCGAGACTAACTGGCGTCAAACCTCGTCATGTGACGGTTCCCGTGACTCCATGCGGAAGAGAGGGATTTCAACAGTGACAACACAACAAACAGCTGCACGCTAGCATAAACTGTGTCTATTTTCCATTTTATATCTGCATCTAGCCTCATATCAGCCCAGCAATGGACGGATCTGTCAGAGCATCTTCAGACGCTGCAGCCGGACCGCCGCCTTATTTTCGAGGGTAAGAAAACAAACCGTTACTTTAAATGATCAGCTAGCATTAGCCTAGCTTAGTTTAGCAGCCCCCCTCTGTCTGTGGAGTGACTCTAAACATCCGTCTCCCCGCTCTGCTCGATGCTGGACATGTGCCAAAGTTTAGAAAATACTTTTATCTACTCTGGCATAATCCTGGAACACAACATCACCGCCAAGGGACATCCCCACGCCAGTAGTCAGCATGTTGGAGTCCCGTTGCTCCTCAACAGTAAGGTTGCTGTCTTGTTTCATCTTGGCTGACTCATGAACTTGTACTCCTCTGCAGAAATGAAAGCTCCCTGGTTTCTGCCCTCAAGACACTGCTATTCTTCACTATCCTGATGGTCACGCTTCCCATAGGACTGTACTTCGCATCAAAGGCGTACATCTTTGAGGGTATGGTTTGTAACACTACATTGTTTGTGTTGCCAGTACAGTACCAGCCCTTTGATGTCTATTTCGATTCACTGTTGATTTAAAGAGGATGCTACCACCAACGGCCCCTCTCACGTACTTTCAAGTCTTTGTTCCCGATCAAAGAAAGAATTTGTTCCCAATCCCAAACAGAGCCTCACCGGTACTGGATTTGTGTTTCTGTTCATATTGGAGAGTTACAAAATGCGATCAGGGCTGCAATCAATCGTTAATCTGCACAACATTTTCAAAAATAATAGTTAATTGTTTGGTCTATAAAATGCAAACTACAATTACTGCCCCCAACCAGTGAAGTTACAGGAAATAATCTCCCCTTCTGGTCATAATCTCCCCTTCTGTTCCTAAATTACGGTGTTGAATAATGGCCTAAAGTGTTTTTTGAAGAACATTATGGCATAAAAATTGACAATTTTTGGATAGAAAAAATTTCATCATTTTATCCTATTAGATTTGAATTTGAGTTGAATTGTGTCATAATAAGATAACTAATTTTTGGTTTATGGCCTAAATTGTGTTTTGTGAGGTCACAGTGACCTTGACCTTTGAGCACCGAATTCTAAAAAGTTCATCCCTGAGTTTAAGTTAACGTGAGTGCCAAATTTGAGGACATTCCATCAAGGTGTTCCTGAGATATTGCATTCACGGGAACGGGACGGATGGACGGACAACTTGAAAACATAATGCCTTCTGCCACAGCTGTCACTGGCGCAGAGGCATAAAAAGCAGTGAAAAATACTCATCACATTTTCCTAGAGTCCTTGTTTTTCTGAGCAAAAATCCAAAACCCAAAGATATTCAGTTTACAATTATATGAAACAGAAAAGCAGAAAGTCCTCATCGTGTTTTAGCTTTAAAAAATTACTTAAACAGTTAATTGGTTATCATAATATCTGCCAATTACTTCTGTCAACCAACTAATTGTTGCAGCTTTAAATCAAATTACAATACATCAGCTGACATTTGCCTTTTAATATAAAAAAAGCTGATGTTGACAGATAATATAAGCCAATTTATAGGTCAGGCTCCAATAGTAACTGAAAGGCAGAGAGATGATTTGCAGTATTCTTGCTATCATTGTTGATGCAAACTGTCATCAGATCATTTAGAAATCAAGACATTTAAACTCAGAGCTTAGAAAAACAAAGAACTCAGAAAAAATAATCAGCAACTATTTTGATAATCAAATAATTGTTTTAGTTATTTCATTTATTTATGTATTTTTAACATTCGCTTCTCCGCCTCCTTTTCTCAGGTTCAATGAAGATGTCGAGCTCTGACAGCTACTTCTATGCAGCCATTGTTGCTGTTCTCGCTGTGCATGTGGTTTTGGCTTTGTTTGTTTATGTAGCCTGGAACGAAGGCACGCCTAAAGGGAAGGGCAAACACGATTAAGGCATGTCCTTATGAGCTTGTATAAGACCGGAGGAGATGGAAAGACTCGGAGATTCACAGGCCCCCCCCCCACCCACTCCACCATGGGCTCCAGCACTAAACATGGCAACATCTACCAACCAGACAGTTAGGGGTTCTGGTTTGAGCTTAGGCTTTAACCTGAGGTTAAAGCCTGAATCTACTGTATATTCCCTGGGGTGGGGGGGTGCTGTTGGGTGTGTTTTTTCACCAGCCTCAGCAGGCCTGCTTTTTTGACTTTTTGTTCTCTGACATTGTTACTTTTGTTGACAGAGGACAGCCCACATTTTTAAGAGGCTTTCTTATAAGCTGCCATTTGGCTAAGTGCTGTAAGTCCCTTCACAGTAGAGACTTTGTCATGTAGGAAAACATCTTGGGCTTTCGATGATGCATGCGTGTGCAAACACACACTGTATGTACCTGTAATGTGTGTATGAAGGATTTGATTTCAAAAATACTCTGCTACATCCTTTCTGTGAAAATTTGTGCTTCTAAATTGATCGTTCTGTCCTCAAATTTCAGTTCTAATCTGCATTCATTTAAAGGTGACTCTTAACTTCAATATAAACCCATAATGTGCTTAAACTTCAGGCTGTGTTTTGGAACGAACTCTTCATGATGTTTTGTCGATAAAATAATCAGTTTGTTCTTCTGTGTTTTTCTTTCTGTTTTAATGCGTTTGTGTACTGTAGTGAAATTATATGTTGCAACTTTGAATTAGGACATTATTGCAAGATCAGGCTGTATTTAAAGAAATGTTTTGTATTGAAGATGATGGGTGAGCTTGAGGATCTAGATGTCATTGAAGTCAATGTAATTCAGAAGAGGATATTGACTTGCTCAAATAAACTTGAAAAATTGTAACATTGTATTTGTTTCACATATTTTCAAGGGCTTCTTGATGTTCCCTATAAAAAATAAAATTCCAATATACAATATTCATCTCACACTGGCAACATGGCATGATTAAAAAAAGTAGAGTAGTAAGTAGACAAGTATTAACATTTTTGATTTATTGTTTTATTACCTTATATATTATTAGTACATTATCTTATGAGGTAAAATGTCACTGACTTACACAGATTCTGTTCATCTATTCACATATAAAATAATGTATAGCAGCGGAGGTTTTATCTTTGAGAAGATTCTATGATAAAATCTAAGATGAACATATTTGCTATATACTCGTGGTTCTGTGCACATGATAAACAAGTTCTATCACACAAGAGGCCATGACTTCCCCTACCATCTGTTTCGTAAGCCACACCAAACCAAAATGTGTGCATAGAGATTTGTGTGTGTGTGTGTGTGTGTGTGTGTGTGTGTGTGTGTGTGTGTATGTATGTGCATGTATTTACTTAGGGACTTTTTTCCTAGGAATGCCAGCTTAGGTTCATTTATGCTCAGTCAAACTCAGAGCTTCTATTGAAAACAAAAGCTCTGTGAATGTAAGGAGAAACACTCCTTGTGTGGTTCACTTTGTCATGGATAGATGGACTTGTTATAGTGTTTATACCAGAAGCAAATTAAACTTTCCCAACATTAACAAGCCTGACATACAATAACAAAATGCTATAGACAAAACTATTAAAATCGATTTCTTTGTTCATCATCTTTCAAAAAAGAATGCACACTAAGGCCTTTTAATATGAGAAATATTTCATATTTTGTGCTAAGAAAAAAAAAAGATCTTTCACTTTTTAAATTGATTGCCCTGATTTTTCCCTGGCCTGAAAGAGATTACAGTGAAAAGAATCAATCAAGTTGCCAAAACAACAAACGCTTTCTCTCAAGGCTGCTGAGATGCCTCAGTGACTTATGCAGAGAATCTCCACTGTCACATGGTGGCAGCAAACAGTCGGCTTGTTCCCACAGATAACTCAACAAAGAAGCTAAGACAAGAAATGACAGATGCCAAGCCATGATGACGATTTCTGCCTCAGAAACCGTGTCAGCAGCTGATTTCTGTTCGTCTCGCACTGCGCCACATGAGTCTTCAGTTTTCAACATCCTGTTTAGCTCCCACAGAGTTTGGTACTAGAGCTGTGCAGTCTGCATTGAGTTTAACAAGGCTGGTGTTGGTGATGAGGTGACAGGCCTGCAAGCAATCAGACTGATTCAGTCAGCAAACATCAGAAGCCCTGTTTCCCTTTTGGCTGATATTTCATAAGCTTACCCTTGCAGCAACACAAAGTTGGTGCAAGGGCAGGCTTTGCTTCTGGCTCTTTGTCATTTATCACACATTAGCAGGTTGGGCGAATAGTGTCAGTGTGATGGAAAACAAGCCAGAGAGCGCTGAACACTTACTTGAGTCAGGGATTAAATAAACACTACTATTCTATTATATTCAATTCAATTTTATTTGTATAGCGTCAAATCACAACATACATTATCTTAAGGCACTTTACAGGGTGAGTTCAAGACCTTACAATATTAGAGAGAGAAACAGTTCCCACGATGCAAGAAATATTTAAGCACCCTGACTGACTGTTAAAGTGCCAATAATCATATCAATATCCATCGGTGTAATGGTTTTATCAGTAATAACAGCAGCAAAAGTGACTAAATAATAATGAATGTTGTAGTGGCAGGTCCGGATCCTGTAGCTCCAGAGAGAGAGAGAGAGGGAGAGAGAGAGAAATGCTCAGTGCATCATGGGAGTACCCTCAGCAGTCTAGGCCTATACCTGCTTAACTAAGGGGCAGTTCGGGCCTCACCTGAGCCAGCTCTGTAAGCTTTATCAAAGAGGAAAGATCTAATCTTAGATGTAGAAAGGTTGTTAACACAGGACAAATATGATCTCTTTTCCCAGTTCCTGTCAGTGCTCGTGCTGCAGCATATTGAATCAGCTGGAGGCTTTATACAGAGTTATTGGGACATCCTGATAATAAAGAATTACAGTAGATTACCAGTCTAGAGGTAACACCCAAACAACTACAACACTCCTTGATGATTTTATTCTGTGTCCTGCATGCAACCCACATTCACTGACTCCTTGTATTCATATGTCCCAATTGAACAGAGTAGTAAAGTAGGAATATGTCAGAGTATTTGTTCACTATTTTATGTTTCTAACCAGTAAGAAAAAGAAGAAATTCAAATAGAAATGCCATTTCAAAATATTAAGTATCTCTGTGACTTGGATTTTCTTTGCCCAGCAGGTGGCGTGCCCAGCAGATGCAACCCTCAGACATGCAGCATGGCGGTGTTTAAGTAAGAATATAGGGAGAGGGCAGTAGAGTACTGTATTTCAGCTGGTGAGAAACTAATATGAAGCATTACACCACAGGGAACAAACAGAATAAAGTGAAAGAATAACTCATCTGGACACATAAAATTATATCCACCATTAAACAAAGCCAAGAGAGCTCTTTATTGTGTTAGACTGAGCTGTTATTTCCCATGAAACTCTGCTTAGGTGCTTTTGAGAAGATAATTACTGGCTTCAGCATTGAAAAAATAACAGTAGTGCGGTATCACTTATTTATCCCAAGCATGAAGCACATGCTTTTTTTAAATTTTTATTTCAAATAGCTACAGTATAGCAGGGTAAAAGCATAGATAGCATATATAATTACTTTGCAAGTTTTTAAGAAGAACCAAGTATCCCCAGCCCTGTCACAATAGACTATACAAGCATTGCTGACATTATGTTTGTGTAGGTGTTCTGCATTAAACTGTGTATGCAGTGTTATGCAAGTACTACTATGCCGGTATATTTCGAGCTTTAGTGTTTTTAATTGAACTGAACGGTAATTGGAGGGCTGTTGGCTCCTTCATAGCATTTTTAAAGTTGCTTATGGCTCCCATTGGGATTTGAAAGTCCAAAAAATAACCCATTATCTCTAATGAGTATGGTAAAGTAAATAAGCAGCAACTACACTTTTGACACTCTTGTAGCAGTTTCACCGTGCCCAGCTTGTAGGGACTGTACCAAAATTATTAGGGTTGAGGAGAGAGGGATGGGGGTGCTCAGAAAAGGAGGAGAGTAATTTGCAGAAGGGAGGGTGGTGTACATTTTTTAGTTGTGAGGGAGTGTGGAGTAGGCGAGATTCTTTAGTAATTGAAAGTTATCTCTACAGAGAGTTTGTAATTTGTCATCTATTGAGGCCATTTTTACAAGAGGGAGAAATTTGTAAATAAATTCTATTGTGCTGTGTTTAATTTGCTAACACTAAGCAGCTATGTAGATATAGCTTAATTAGGACCCTTAATGACTGCAGTCAGCTCTGCCGTCTGATTGGTTAAAATGAGTAAGCTGCCCATGCTTAGTTAGTTTAACTGGAGTTATGGAGCCTTGAGAGCACGCCAGTGTTTGCCTGTGCGCACCGTGCTTGTCGTGTTTAACTGTGTATGCTTAAATTGGTTTGTTATCATGTTTCATGTTTGTAGTTTTTCAGTAAATGGTTGAAATAAAGAACATGGACCATGTAGACTTATTGCAGTTATATGGTTGAATTACGTGGGTATTTTCAAGAAATAGACAGAGCCACAGCTCCCCAAACTAACAACCTTTGAATTACGATGCTCTGCATTATACAGTATGCTCAGTATGCCTAAAAATGTGCTATACTGTACGTCTTCTATCATGGACTGACTGTCTTGACACAATTTGAAACCTTGGCCTTACACTAGAAGGATTTCATTTCAAAGTGCTGGATAGCCAGCTATAGTCATCACTCATAACTGTTCATCTGTCAACATTTCAAAAACATATAATCCTTGTCTCAAAGATGATCTCTTTATTGTATTTTAAGATGATGCATGTCTTAAAGAAGCTGTGACTAACCCTCATGTTTCATTATTTGTAAAATCAGATGTGACAGTTTTTTTTATACATTCGTAACAAATAACACTCCTGGTGGTTTTGTCTGGTGATGCTATTATTTATTTTCTCAACTGACATATTGGAGATTTGAAATATGTTGTTTTTGGCACTACAACACACTAAAATAAAACATAGTATATCCAGACTACACTCTAAACTCCAGCTGAAAGACATTGAACTTTAATACATTAGTAAGTAAAAAAAAAAAAATCCTATCTGCTCTTCCCAAACATTGACAGGAAATCACGAGCAAAACAGTCCAAGGGCATGAGAGAGCTTCTTCGTCATCCACATGCTATGTCATTAATTTCAACGTTTCCATAGCAGGCTGTGCTTTCCTGGCACAGATGAGTATGCGATGTGCATGTGGGGGATATGCAGACAGGAAAGACTTTACGAATGATACGTTTATTCCCTCTCAAGCACGTCAGTTTTTAACAGCCGTAAATGTTTATGCGTAGATACTGATGACTCACAGCTTCAGTCTTCAGTAAATTTCAATTTACTGTTGTAATTTTCTGTTTGAAAAATATGGCTGCAGAGCTTGACTGTGTGCTGGAGCTACTGTGTATGAATATTAAACACAACCAGTATTATTGTCTCTGCTTCTGGGTTGATCTTGATTTATTATGTGTTGCAGTGAAATGGTTTTCCGTGCTCCTGATAAAGACTGGAGATAAATACAAATGCACTGCTAACGCTGCAAATTTAAGACAGGTTTATTTCAGGCAGTTTTACAAATATGGTTGTCACCAAGTGCTTTACAGAAAACTAACGACACAAACACAGATATAAACACGGATAAACAAAACAATGTGCTTATAATTATGTACTTGATGGCTGTCGCAATAAAAAGAGAGAGAATGTGGGAACTCCTGAGACCAGTGCAATTTCTTTTGAGGCGCGTCCTGGAATTAGTTACAGTGACTCCAGTGTCCAATGTGTTGTCAGGTATTGCACAACTTTTCACTTCAAGTCTAAGCAAGTGAACTATGCTAGATGGTGACCTCAAAACAGTTAAAGGAAGTTAAATTTAACTATTCGCCCTATCTGATTTCCTTAAACAAGGTCAGGTCAACGCTGAAACAAGTTTCTGCCCTGGATTCTGTTCCAAAAGTTTGGGCAGGGTTCATTCACATTCATCACATACTGAACAAAGAAAAGAAAAAAAAAGATGAGCTCAATCTAAAACCTGAGCCTACCATAGTTTTTGTTGATTTTGTTAATAGTGAAGAGAGATAATAGTGAAGAGTGGAACGATACACAAATCAATTCACTTCACAAAACATCAGTACATTTAATAAATATGAACATTTACTGAAAATATGGTGTTGCCACAAGTGGGGTACCATAAACCATTTGTGCTACAATCTAATGTGAAATCCAATCAAGTTTTTAGAAAGAAAGAAAGAAAGAAAGAAAGAAAGAAAGAAAGAAAGAAAGAAAGAAAGAAAGAAAGAAAGAAGAAGAGAAAAATTAGGTCTTAGTTCATTAGAAATGCTTTTGTTGAGCCACAGTCTTTATTACATATCACAGAACAACTGCAGCTTCTTCATGTTCCCTATAAATGTCACTTCCCTCAAAGCTGGAATGAGTCAAACCTGTGCCATCTTATAGAGGGGAGTCAGTTCAACATGTATGAATGCGTCCAAACAACATATGATCCTCTAACAGCAATTTAAGACCCCTCAGAGAAACATAAACCTCCTCATATCTTCAGATCGTCTATTCTAGTCTTGTTGTTGCTGTGTTTGGCACTGCGGCCAGGCCTGGCCTGCGTAGGTGACCCAGGGGCTGATCCTGCTCCCTTCTTTCCTTTCAGGTCACATTCCTCTGGCTTGCTGCTGCTCCTTTCCACCGCCAAGTTGTCTTTATTCTGTTTGTAAGCCGCCTTGCTGTGGTATGGGTGGAACGATGAGTCTGTGCCCTCGGACAGAGGGGAGAGGTTGTAGCTGGGGACGGGAGGGTAGGCAGCCTGGACTTGGTGGTGCCCGTGGAAGTAGTCGTCATAACTTGGCGCAAAGGGCACAGCGGTATCACTGGGCTCCTCGGAAATGCTCCCGGTTGACTGTTCACCTCTCCTGAAGATGATGCCCTGACGGCACTTGGTGAAGCCCAGGTGGTAGATTTCTATGAGGTTGAGCAAAAGAGACACGCTGGCCACCCCCAGCATGAAGATGATGAAGATGGTTTTCTCTGTGGGACGGGATATGTAGCAATTTACCACATTGGGGCAGGGCGGTCTATCACATGTGTACATGGGCCTCAGCTCAAAGCCGTATAAGAGGTATTGAGCCACAATGAAGCCCACCTCAAACAGGGTTTTAAAGATCACATTAAAGACATATGTGCGCAAGAGCTCCCCCTGCAGGCGCACTCTGCCCTTCTCGTCCCTCACCAGAGCCTTTTTGTGGTGACCATCCACAATGAGGGCCTGTTTGTCCGAGTGATGCGCATGTTCCCTCTCCCTCTCTTTCTCCTTCTCTCTGTGCTTTTCCTCCATCCGCACCAGATGGAGGATGTGCCCCAGGTAGATCAGCGTAGGCGTGGACACAAAGATGATCTGCAGCACCCAAAAGCGGACGTGGGAGATGGGGAAAGTGATGTCATAGCAGACATTCTCGCAACCGGGCTGCTTGGTGTCACAGGTGAAGCCCGACTGCTCGTCGCCCCACACCTTCTCTGTCGCAGCACTCAGGATCAGGATGCGGAAGATGAACAGGACGGTGAGCCACACCTTCCCCACCACGGTGGAGTGCTCCTGGGCTTTTTCGAGAAGTTTTCCTAGCAGGTTCCAGTCCCCCATGGCTGTGTGAGCTCAGACCTGGGACTACACAAGCATTGAGAAAGAGCTCAAATACAAAAACACTTCATTTGATTTTCCATGATCAAAATAAAAGTGGTCTCGGAGTCAAAGTAAGCTGCCGTGTAACTAACAAAGTTTACTCTATTTGTTAAAATGTCTTACCAAGTTCAGCAGAGCTCAGACCAAAGGAGTCTCTAGGGAGCCAAGTTACTAATGTTCAACCGGGGGACTCTGCTGCCGAGCAGGTAGTGGCCTTTAACGTGTGGACGCAGACAGGATTATATTTACTTTAGGAGGGTATATATTTGGCAAGTGTGGACAGGGGAGGAAGGCAGTTCCAGTCATGATACTGCAGCTCCTGGCCTTCATGACCTGAGCCATGGCAACCTGATCCACACGAAGTGAAATCAAACCCCAGGCAGATGTGGAAGGAGTGCGTATTAGAAACATTTGAGTAATGTCGGTACTGTCAGTTCCTGCAACACATTATGTTATAAATATATTCTGCTTTTGATGGATGTACTATACAGTGGCATGACACCAGATTCTGCATATGCCGCTGTGAGGGAGAATGAATTCTGATAGCTACTGAAATGTGGCAGGTGAATTGATGTTTCAGGAGCCGCAACTAAAAATCTGTCTAGTCTTTTAACAACTATATTGGGTTGTAATTTTAACAAAAGTATTTTTTCCAGTATTAAACCTCTCAGAATATGTAATCTTGCTATCAATCTGCTGATAATGATATGACAAACATTGCTAGAAAAAAATAAAGAATGGTTTTCTCAAGTGTGGAAACAAGGAACTTCTAGTATCATGTTCCCACACAACACAGCTGTAAACAAACTACAGCCTTTGGCCACAACATGTACCTTAAGTTGTCTAAAGTTTATGTCTAACCTGAAAGAGCAAATACTTCAACCCACACAGACGACTAAAGAATCACACAGAAAGTCATATTTACTGGTTAAACTCACCTTGTCAGCTTATACATCCCCTGTGGTGAAGCACTACATGTCTTTGAGGGTCCATTAGGCCGCCCTGCTTCGCTGACAGGCCTCAGTGCAAAGCTGATCTTCGGGCCCCCGGCAATGCCCTTGAATGGACAGGAAAAGTGGACTCCTGCTAGCTACAACCTCGGCTCACACCAGCAAACCCACTGACTCAGTCTTCTGTCTTCAAATACAGCTCAGGCAGGAATCAGGATCCAGGCCCTGGGGTCCTCTACTGACCACAACACACACACACACACACACACACCGGATGCGCTCTCAACCATGTCTGGCCTGCCCTCCCTCAAACCCCGACACCTCCCACCCCCATGGTTAAATTTGGCACAGGGTAAACTCTCTAATATAAACTATTAGAGCCCCTCGACTCGCTTGTTACAATGAGTGACAGGGCAGTTGGCCAATGGTGTTGTCTGGTAAGTCTGTCTGGCCACAAGACCACAAGTGCTCCTGGGGTCTAAATATAGCACGAGGGTCTCTCCTATCATTGGGCATTGAGGGGGGTGATTTGGAGACGAGTTGCCATTTGCATCCTCACACAGTTACAGGAAGGAGGTAAGTCAATACAAAAAAAAGTTCAGTTTCAAAATATCAATGACATGAGCCCCACTTGTGGATACTAAAATGGAAAATGCTGCTTATATATACTTTCCTTTAAAAGAGTTCATGATTTTATCAATTCCCTTCAACCCATTCAAAAGAAAGCCAAGGGAAAAAAAAACAATCAGTTGGATGAAGTGCATTTGTCAAATTATCAGGCAATTTATTTCTTTATATTACATAATGTACACACACTATAGAGTTTCGACCCATTGTATATTTTATCTGGATTGTTTACCTGGATGTAAACTGATAATATGTACATTTAGGCATATGAACATAAGAGTTTTTGTATGCATTACAGTGTGTATAAAAACAGGTTAACTTCATGACATACCAGCGTATGGGACATTACATTTTCAGGACCAGAGAGATACTGAATAATATACTATGCAGGGTAATGTTAAGGAAAGCAGGTGCCATCTGTCAAAGAGTGATGGGTCTCTGTTAAAAAAAAAGTAGGTCAACCTCAAACATTTATCAGAGCCAACTGGAAAATAACTTCAGACAGAAGCTGCAACGAAGTAAGTAGGTGGTATTTACAACTGCATACAACGTTATACAAATCTACAGACATATGTACAGTACTGGGATTTACAATATTCTAAAAGTGACCCAGCAGACAAGTGAAGAAGAGGAATGAACAACTGTAATTTTGCCATTTCATGAGTTGAACATAATGTGATATCTTCCAACAGTACCTGAAAAAAAGCCCAGGAAGGTTTACTGACATGTCAAAGTGAGGGCTTGACTTTACCTTACTTTTGGGATGTAGATAATTCTGATTAAAAGTGTTAAAAAGTCAGAATGTGTTTGAGGGAAAATTGTACTTCAAATTAATTTTCTCTCCTTGTTACATTGGCTATATAATATCTAATGGCAGTTATCCACAACTGGACAAAATTTCAAAACTTTCTTTGGTTTTCTAGCACCAACTGTTATATCTCCAGAGCAGAATGCTAATTTACATAATAGTTATTACTGTCTGCCCATAGTTAATCATATTCACTGACAATAATCCAAGCATTCTACCACTGGATCAAAGAAATGGTACTGTTCCTTATAGTCATTTCACTCACATAAATACACTTCTCTCCAATACTTTGCACTAGCTTTTAGACTGGATTAAATATGATACATAGTAGTATTATTTTTTATCTAAATGAAAAAGTCAACTTTCCTATCCAGCATTTTAATCTCTACAGTAATCTCTGCTTCTTTTCAAGATCAAGCCATTGTTTTTTGCACATTTTGATCAATTTACTAGAAATCACATATACTTAACATTACAGCTTTTAACAGTTAATCTTGTAAGTGTTTTTTACCTTTTGGAATTTTTTGTGCTCTCCAGGCTGCCAGCCATGTCCTTTCATTTCAGTCTGGTATGGAAATCTATTCACGAAGACTTAATGCAACATCCTTAAGATAGTTTATTCATCTTTTTTGTTGTCAAAGCTTCATTTTTGTTGTAAAAGAAGCCATGGCATGGAAGAATTTGAAAAATTTGTTGGATGGTGCATTCGTGTGCTAATGAGAAACTGATATCCAAAAACTACAGTCGGTTTCCAAATAGCAGCCTTTATAATGCAAAAAATAAAAATTAAAAATATTCATGTTAAACATCTCATATGTATTTTATGTTTGTATTTTGGCTTTGGTTTACCTATGCGATAGCTCATAGATACAACTATTTTGGCTATCTCAGCTTCAAACAAGTACACAAACCTGCCACACTTGCAGGATTTCATCAAATCCACACATTAAAGTGAACTGTCACAAAACAACTATAAAACTTTGACAAAAATAAATGGAAGCGTGATCATACTCATGGTTTGTTTAGCTCAAGCAATCATCCCACCTTGGCAACTTGGCAGCTTTTCATACTGAAATGCACAAAAGTTGCTTCAAATTCCGAAAAAACAGACAAAATCTAACAAATTAAGGTAACTGACAATACCGTCAATCATGTTTGATTTGTAGTAAATGAGCTGAAACATGCAAAAATATTGGTATTGGCCATTAACCTTCGCCACTGGCTCCAAATAGTTTAGACAAGTTCCAACAGCAACTAACACTTGTGTCAGTAAAACCGATAAAGAAAAAAAAGATGAATCGATAAGCGATTGATACAATACATAAATAAATGGTCTACATGTTGATGCTGACAATGATCAAATATACAGTATATGTAACATTAATGCAACATGCTCCATTGGACGTGTGATTATTGTTGATTAGTTTAAAGGGAAATGGAAAGGCAAAGTCTCAGAAAGCAGAACACCTCTCACCCTTCTCAGGTGGGTTCTTTTTGGTCACAGTGAATTTAGACTTGAGAGAATGGTCTGCTATCAGCTGATTGATTTCATTTTGCCTATAAGAAGACAATCTTTGACTTATCCAAGCTACTTTGGACTCATCTTCAGAGCCTCGTAAGCACCGTTTGCAGGCCCTGCCTATGAGGTACACCACCTCGGCCAGATTAAGCAGCACACACACCCCAGACACTGCCAGCATGAACACAGTAAATATGGTCTTTTCTGTCGGCCTGGAGACAAAACAGTCCACTGTGTTGGGGCAAGGGTATGAGTCACACTTCACCAAACGCACCATCTTAAAGTCAGGATAGATCAAGTAGAAGATGTAGAGAAAAGCCACCTCAAAGATGATTCTGAAGATGATACTGATCATGTATGTCCACCAAAGAGCTCCGGTGATCTGAAACTTCTGGTTCTTGATGTGTTCCAGGTCCTTGGGGCTGCCACGGCCCGACCTCTTCAAGATCTTCTTGTCGATATGGCGGCGGTGGGCAACATGCATGGCCACCAGCAAGGCGGGGGTGGAGACCAGGATGAGTTGGAGCGCCCACAGGCGGATGTGCGAGATGGGGAAGAACTGGTCATAACACACACTGTTACAGCCAGGCTGTTGGGTGTTGCAGGTGAAGCCAGACTTCTCATCTCCCCAAACACTCTCGGCAGCAACAACCAGGACCAGAATACGGAAGATGAAGATGACCGAGAGCCAGATGCGTCCGATGCCAGTAGAGTGCCTGTTTACGCCGCTGATCACGGCATAAAAGGTCCCCCAGTTCATTTTCGCCTCCAGGTCTGCACAAAAAAGGATAAATATTCAGTTATGGTTACATGGATGTAGGTAACGCTATCTCTCTAGCTCAAGGGCAATTTTTATTCATTAATGTAGATATAGGTAGATATAAGTAAATTTTATTGAAAAGAAAACAATCCTCAAAATGCCTCAAAAGTAGAATAATCTATTTAGCTAAGGAACATGAACCTTTGCGCCCTGCATATTTACACAATCACATTTGGAGAAATGGCTTATTAAGTTAAATAACTTAGCTATAAACACTGTTGTTTTCCACAAACAACTTAGTAAAAGTCTAACTGTTGTAACATTAGTTTTTAGAGGTTTACCAGGCTCAGCCGGCGGTGCAAGCGGCGTAAGCAGCGCCGGGTCCAAAGATGACCATCTTGAGGTGTGGCCTGAGCATCAAGCTGGATTTGGCAGAGTAAGGAACAACAGACAAGAATTGCCAAGTAGCCCGTTGGCCGTATAAAAGCAGGGGCGATGGCTTACCAACATGCACCGTCACAGGACGCAACAAGTTGAAGCCAATTGCGAAACATTCACCGAGCCACGTGATCCTGTCACCCTGTATTAATACTCTACTCCCAAACTGACCTACAGTCCAGTTGCAGACAGACTGACAGACTGCCAGCAAATTTCTCCAAGGATCCAGCAAGACATCCATCTCATTATGAGAATTTTTTTAAGATGTGAGAGATCTCATTGTTTGTAAGAAAGGCTATGGACTTGACCAGACTGCCTGATGAAAACTAAAAATGGTCACACTCTTTAAAAGCTGATTCATTCAAATATGACTTACTCTAAAGGGTAATGATAATTTAAACAACATCATGCCAAGTATTTGTCGAGCCGAGGCACTGGGGCATGTCAGCCATCACTCACATAAAGTCTGACCTCACTGCACACTGAATGTTAGTAGAAAAAGAATGAAAATGACAGAACACATATTTTACCTTCAGCTCTGGTGGTACACAAAAATGTGTACAAAACAGGTGGAAATGAATGAAAATATTGTCTTTTTTAGGAAGCCAAAAGGCTGGACTGAGAACACCATGCGTTTGGAAAATGCTAATCATTCCTCCGCCACTAGCCACTGCCCTGCACCGTAGCAGTCATATGCTCTTATATAAACTATTTACATACAATGGCAGCCTTTATTGGGCTGCAACAAGACTCTTTAGAATTCAGATCAAACGCCTCGATTTCCGCCTACCCCGGGCAAAAGAAGGAATCTGTGTGGACACAAAAGGCCTCAGCCTGCCACATTATTTATTGTGCTTGGCAGGGCAGGGAAGTGAAGGAAGCTTTTGACCTGAGCCACTGTCATTGAGAGCACAGAGTCACTCATAGGTTTGCAGATTCATGCAGGAAATATAGAAGCTTTTCAACTGTTACAAACACTAATGGAATGGAAAATGAAAGTCAGTCTAATTGAAAAGATAATTTATATGCAGGATTTAATTCAGACCCTTTAAATTTTGTTTTCAGACACCTCAATTTTGTAACATTCAAAACACTGCATTACTGTAAACTAGGCATGTAACTGTAACTTCATCAACCAAAAGCTTTGATAAACTACAAATACAGTGTATTGTATATGAACAACAGTTTTCGACCTGATTTCTGTTTTTTGTAATCATCTTGGCCTAAACTACTTTTGATTACCAAGTACCTTTCAATAAAACTTACTTCCAATGTTTTGATGATCTAATCATGAGTTGATGACATATCATATTTCATGATATGCAAAGGAAAAATATCCATCCATTTGATTTAACCCAAATGTTCAGTTACCTACATTTATCTCTGCCATCTGCTATATTATACAAGTCTGATTATGAATGAGCTAATACAGTATGTTAACAAATCTACATATGAACCATGATGAATGCAAACTCATTGCATAAATAATGTTTTGAAATCATTCTTTATATTTTGATTTCTCAACTTGTTCTGGTCAAACTCCTCCCTATGACAGTAGAGACAATTATTTACAGTAACAACAAACTGAATGCAAGTGAAAACACAATGTGGTCATTTGTCATGTACTATCAGATGACCTACAGCAGTTCACTGTGCCATGAGGATTTCTGCGTCACTTATGACAGATGTAGTGGGAGGGTTTGCGTGGCCTGGTAATTCTTTGAATGAACTAAACCTCATTTATTCTCTCCAAGATAAACTACACTACAATATAGAGACATGGGGCACACAGTTATAGATCTTTATTACAACAGAAATTATATATATATATATATTTTTACACACACACACAAACAAACAAAATAATAGATTTGCCATTGTGCACGAACTCGATATCAAACAAAAGCAAGATGGTTCTAAGAATGATTATTATCGAAAGAAAGATATATAAAAATGAAATAGGCGGGTAGATAATCTGACTGAACTGGCATTATCTCATGGCTGCAATAAATCAGGACCTGAGACACTTCCCTGTTCCCTGAGAAAGGAGTACAAAACTTTGTCTAAAAGTGGGAGGATACGTTTAAAATAAAACACCACAAACCACAACTTGGTATAAAATATATTCACTTTCTTATCACTGCTAAGAGTCATAACTTTCTAGACTCTAAAATAGGAATTTATATATAGAAAAGAGCAAAACAGAAATTCTCAAGTTCAAATAATGTTACAAAGCACATTAGCTTTAGACTCATGTTCACTAGACAGTTTTGTAGTTAAGAGTGCGTTGAAAGACTTAAAATACACAAAAAAGCTCATACATACTTAATGTGTACCAATGCAGTGAATGCCTTTTTAATTTTATTCAAATATCCTTGAAGTACCTTTATACTGCCAAGTGCCAAACACAGCAGTTTGTCAGTGTTTACTAAAAGTCTTTTGTATGTTCACTCATACACACATGGTCCATTGAAATTAAATAATAAATTCAAAGCTCTCATTTAAGAATCATTAGATGTCTCAGTGATTAAGATTTTGTCAGCTGTATGCAATCTGCTTTTTAATTTGACCACAACATGAGTTGTTTGTGAGACAAAGTTCTCAACAAAACAACCAGCATTTGCTGCTTTCACAGTTACTTCTTACTTTGAGTGTAGCACGAGATGAGGTATTTCTCCCAGTCAGAGTCCTGTTTTCTCATTTTAAGTTGAACAGTGCCTAAAAAGTAAAAGACAAGATTTTGAATTGCAAGGCAAGTTTATTTGTATAGCACTTTATCATATATAGGAGTAATTGAATGTGCTTAACAGAAATAAAAGAACCATAAAAATAGAAGTAAAAAGCATAAAAGAAAACAGTATAAAAAACTGATTATAAAATAGATAATATCTCAAAAAAGTGCAAGATTAAAAGATTTGATGAAGGCAAAGGAGGATATAGTAGAGCAGTTTTTAAGCTTCTTTTCAAAGCCAGTTAGGGTTAGGGCAGATTTGAACTCCATTGGGAGCTGGTTCCAGCAGTGGGCAGCATAATGGGTAAAAGCCATTTCACCCTGTTTAGCTTTAACTCTGGGCACCACTAACTGACCAGCATCCTGCAGATCTTAGAGACCTATGGGGCTCATATACATGGAACATTTCTGAAATATATTTAGGGCCCAGGTCATTTAGTGACTTATAGACAATAAGTAAAACTTTGAATTGAACTCTGTATCTGACTGGAAGCCAGTGCAAAGACCTGAGAACTGGAGTAATATGCCCTCTTGTCTTCATTTTAGAAAGAACCTGAGCAACGGCAATCTGAATGACTTGTAGCTGTCTAATGGTCTTATTGGGTAAACCAGTGAGGAGAGCATTGCAATAATGAACACAATGAAAACAATGAAGAGAGCTGCTATGGTCACACACAGGCTACACTGCCACCTGCTGTAGATGCACAATTTAGGACAAACAACGTCCAAACTGTAACTCTACTTACTTCTTTTCATAAGACCAACATTCTTCAGTTTGTTGTGTTTTGCATGTCCATTTTGGGCCAGTCTCAAAGACAGTGATGCACCCCTCCTAAAATGAACATTACAATACAATTATATGGTTAACATTTTGTGTTATTACTAGCTTTAAAACTATACTCATTATAAAAAGGTCAAGTAGTCAAACACTAGACTACTTCTTAATTCAGCATAATACCTAATTTGTACCATGACAGCCAGTAATATCAAGTAAAAAGTCCCTTTTGTCGCTACAACCAAGATTCAGATGCATCATAAAATCCTGGTGACTTGTTTATTTTGCAATTTACAATTCTTTAATTCAAAATTTACAGTTCACCGTTAGTTGACCGTTTCAAAATGAAGTACCTCATAGCTCCAAGCTTTCCCTTTTCCAAGAACAGCTCGACTGTAACTATGGGCCCCTGCGGGTAAAGTCTGGCATAGAGTGTCCTGTTGTGCACCATCGCTTTGAACCAGCCCACTGCCTCCTCAGACCAGTCTCTCCCATTCACAGGCGTCACCTGAGGGGGGGAGGAAACAGACACAAAATACCATGAACTGAGATAATTCATTTCCTTTATCAGTGAGCAATAGATAAGGCTGTGACTAATCATGTGGACAAATGCCAATAATTGAGTCTACACTCTCACAGCAGAGTGTAGTGTATTAAACATTTCCATGTATGCAAATCCTGAGAGGGATAATCTGCACGCCTGTCATGGAAAATCTGAACGTGTTCATCAATCAGGTTTGTGTGCTAGTTTACATACATGTGGAAAATTACAAAGCCAACAGTGCTACAATGTCAGCAGGAAACTGCTTACATTTGCCAGTGACACCTGTACAGCCTGAAGAGGAAGCACGGCCATTTCTGGGGTTAGCTCCTTGATGTTCAATAGTGACAGGCAGGTAGTGCCACCAAGGTCCAGCATCTTCACCTCCACCTTGATTGATGTCTCAATCCCAGCACCATCAGTGGAATTATTATCTTACATTCAAAAGACAGAGAGCACAGCAGGTTAAGCTAAAAATACAGTATGAAATTCCCAAGTGGCTACAGGAAAGCAAAGCGACGCTGCTACCATCTAGAGGTACATATTTGCAAAATCATGCTAACACACAAAACTAAACCCACCTCCACTTACACCACATATCTTCGTCACCTGAGCCCTACACCATTGTTCTTGCTTAGGGAACCAACACATTACTTGGGTTCCAATGTCTGGAATGCAGTTCTGCTCGGCATATGAACTACTGGCTTTCCAGCTGCTGCAAATAAGAGAAAAATAATGACAACCAGAAACATGTGGATTATTAAAAAAAAAGGGGGAAAAAAAATCTACAAAGAAAGCTGTAATGAACAAAAAGAGATAAGTGGCTCTTTAAGTTCTGTAAATGTGATCAGGGAATCAGTGAGGGTTGAGAAAAGCTGAGAAAAAGCAGACAAGAGATTAGAATCCATACTGAACGACTTACTCTGTGAGAAAGGCCTGCAGCTTCATGTTGGAGTCTGCGTGTTGGATGTAGAAGTTGCCTGGGCTAACAATATGAGACACCACAACTTCAGTCTCTTCAAACCTCCTGATATGGAACTCGGGAATGGTAACACTGTTGACCACTGGTGTTTTTGCACCAGCAGGATTGTTCTCTCTTTCAGGTTCTGAGCACTGGAGAGTTTGGGGTTTCAGGTAGATGTTTACACAACAGTTTTGAGCGGTTATATTTTGGCAGTCTTCATTTTTCACTGGGATGTTGTCAGAGTGTTCTTGTTTTACCTCTGTGAAGATGTCTCCAATATCCCACAATTCAGTCTTTGTTGCAACTACACATGTGTAGGTCAGAGAACCACTTGACTCCACTCTTTTTACTCTGAAGACTGGGGCTTGGTTTTCAATGTCTGCACACAACGTTTTCTGGGCTAGTCCTTCCATCACACCGTCTGTCACAACATGCCTGAATTGGAAGCTTTGTGTTTTGATGGTGGGTGACGTTGACTGTGGCGAACCTGAAGTGTGCGTGCTTTTACTCCACTGCATGACAGCGACCTCCAGTGCACCCATGTTTTTAGTTTTGGCTCTGAGGAAGTGCAGCAGCTGAGAGGATGTTTGTTTTTGGTGTTGCACCTGGACATCTTCCTCCCATCCCCAGCCTATTAGTGGGGTTATTTTCATGGGTTTAAGGTTACTGATTTCTGGGAATATAGTTTGTATTGGTGGTAGTAATAACGGTGGTCTCTCTGCATTACTCCTGGGACTCTGAATAAGGGCAGGTGGCAGAATCACAGAATCTGGTTGACCTTTCTCCTCAAAAATAACAGCTTGTTCTTTTTCTTCAGCCTTTAAATGACTGGACAAGCTTGGAGTCTGAACTGTGTTATTGTAGCTGGGTGAGATGGTGCAAATCATGTCATCCTCCTGGACCGCTGCAGGCTGGGAGATGAGGAAATGTTTCAACTGCTGAAGGGACAGTGTGGCTCCAAGCACCTGGACTGCTTTTGCTATGGAGCTTGCCATAAGCCCATTCTGCAACATGGGCCCAAATTTGAGAACATCTGTCTTCAGGAGTGGCTGAAGTTGGTTTGTTCTCACTCCATTTTTAACAGCAGGCTGGACACAAACTTGTGGCTCTGTAAAGATGAGAGAAGCAGCAAGAAAGAGTGTTTTGTTAAATTAAATTGCACTGAAAATCTTTTCCTAAATCACACCTTGGACACCTGTGTAATTCTGGCAGTAGACATGGCATTTTTAAATTTGGTAAATTTGTCTTCAACATGGATAACTGTCAGATTAGCAGCTAAAATGATATTATTACTTCTTGACTTACCAACTATTAAGTCCTTTAATAAAGCTGAGAGCTTGTCAACAGCTCCACATTTGGTATCCAAAGCCTTTGCAAGGTCACTGAACTCACAGGCGGGAAAAGATGAATTCAAGAAACTTTGGACTTCTTCATATGCCTGAGTGAAAAAAAAGGGAAAAAAACTTGCATCAAAGATTTTTTCTTTTTAGAAGTTTTTTTTGTTGAGCATATTCGTTGACAGGCAGAAAACCAGCCAGTTAACAATTTAATAATTTACCAGACAACTTGCTTAACAATTGGAAATACTACTAATCAGTAATGAATGTACGCATTTGCAGTTCTGGCAAAACTTACATGCAATTTTCAAACAACAGTGTTTTGTTTAATTAAAAAGAACTCAACTAAATTCTAATTCACCTGTGGCAGATTTGACCATGTGGTCTGTGCGCCTGCTAGCTAGCTAAAATAGTCTGCAGATGATAACATTAATTGTTAACATTACCATGTTGATGAAGCTGCGAAGTTCTTGTTCAAGAGTACTCCTGGCGTTTTCCAGCAGAAACAGCCTGTAAATCAACTGCACCTTCTGAGTGACGAAGCAGGGCTGCGGCTGGCGGGGGACAAGCTGCTGCTGAGAAGGAGTCATGGTCGACGGGGAGTAAGCGCTGCAGCTGCTGGTGCCCGGGCTCTGGCCGCGCGACTGCTGCTGGCTAATGTGGTGAGCTAGGTGTGTAGCCATTTAGCTGTGTAGGCTAACCAAAATGTGACGATGTTGTTACCTGTTAGCACTTTTGAAGGTTCTGTTTGAAGATAGTTTAATGCATCTGGGTCTGGGAAGTTATCACAGTGCAGCTATTGTCTTTTTCTGTCTCTCTGTCTTCTTGACCTCGCCGGTTTCTTCTTCCCGCCGCAGTTGTAAGTGAAAGGTTTCCTGCTCTTACTTCAGCCACAAACAGCTGGACGACGAGGGGCCGCCATGTTGGAAACTCCGGTTTGTGTCCAGCCGAAGTAGTTATCTAATTTGTTGGGAAGGTATGGTGTTACGTAAATATTAGTGGGTGTCCTGCTCTTTTTTAAAGCAGCCTCACTGGTTATGTGTCGCCTTCCAGGACTGCCCCCCTTTAAATGGATTTTGATGGGACTATTATTGGGTGGCCTTTTCCTGGTGCAGAGGGCTGGATGAAGAATAATCAAAACACCGATCTCGCGTAAACAGTGTAGGACATGAGCTGTAAATGGAGAGAAAATGTGAAGAAAATCAATATAACCTCTCCATGGGTAGCCTTTATTTCAGTATTTCTGGGTTTAATGTAGCCCACCGCTTGTTAATTATCTGAGACTGTGCATAAACAAATTAAGACTGCTTCCTACAATAATCTTAACTAGGAGCAGCCAGGCACCTCTGCTGTCATGGATGGATACCTGAATGGGCCTATGGGACACAGGCCTCATGGGCCTGATAGGGACAATGGGCCCCTAAGGCAGGTACTCTGTTTTTCTCTACAAAATACAGCTTCACGGTGCATATAAGCTACAGCAAGCCTACATTAGAATTTTGTAAGTGACAACTCAGTAGCTTTCCTGGAGTATTTTGTTTAGCATCCTATCGTAAAATTACATATCTCATAAGAAAATACATATTTTCAGCTTCCTGTGATAATATGATTATTAGGATGTCTGTATTATGGAGCATGGCACCATATCTTTTCTTGAGTGAGTCTGTATTTATATCAAGAGTATGTTGTAGAAGGAGCACAATGCGTTTGATAATAAAACTACAATTGCAGGTCAGCATATTGCTAAATAGAACATAGAGCAAAAACAGAAAACGAAAGCAGAACAAACAGCTGAGTGCTGAGATAAGTAACTATCAAGGAATGAGTTTACAGCAGAACAGATAGAACAAAGAGGATTTTATTCTGGATCAAACAAGATGTATGACTTTTGCTACATTTGAAGAAGAATATATCATGGATGTAAGATAAAAATGATGTTTTCTTAGCATCAGGTTTAATTGGGCAAGGATGGCAATCCTTTACTTGTATGGATGAGGTTTATTGGAAATACAGTTACCCTAGGGACTGACAGTGATACAAGTTTTACTGTGCTAACAGTTCATATGCTGTGCTAACAAACAAGCTGCAGCTGATATCTAAATGCCAGCTACCATTAACTGCCAAGTAGAAGAATGAATACAATTTGCTACTTGCATTCCTATGGTTTTACACATAATACTATACACACAGTGTTCTTTTCTTTGAGTGCTCTTTGTTTGAACTTGTCAAGCTGCTACTTGATCTAGTACCTAAATCTTGTGGGTGGGGCAACAAAGACATTTCCTACAGTTATATTGCTCAAGAGCTAGATTGATAGGCATCCTGGCTGTTTTGATACTAATGCTGGGATCACATGCCTGGCTCTAGCCAGTGGACAAAGTGGTAATGGGCGTAAGAATTGCAAAATGGCACTTGCTTGCATCAGTCTAAAGGAGAAAGTTGAGTCAATAGGTAAACAATAAGAGAATTGCTCAACAGGATATCCTGCAACAGTAGTTTCTCCCTGGTGCACCCAAAGCTACTTGCTCAGACTGTAATAAAATCTTCAAAATTTTCAATATCTATTCATTTCAGATGCATTTTACACTACAATGCCATAAGGCTTTTGCCTTATGGCATTTTTTAATGCAACCCCCCTCCCCCTTTTGTGTGGATCAGCAGTGTGGGATAAAATTCAAAGCTGATGCATGTGTTGTTAGTTTAACTTCATGCTAATGATCATGTGTTTCACAGAGGGGTCTCATTTCCTTGAAGTAGTGGATCCAAATTCAGTCAGATTTATTGAATGATAAAGCAGCACACACTGAATGATAATAGTCTTCTTCTACTCAAGATTTTATGGGATTCAAGTTGATCAGCTAAAAACAGACATTCACAGAAATCAAAGTTCCCCTCTGAACCTCAGTGCTTTATTTTGCTGATATGGAAATGGGTGATTCATATTCTAAAATCAAGATTGACAACATTTTCTGATTATTAGATAGAGCATATTTATTATTAGCCTATGGCATGCAGCAGCATTGCCACATTTACCACTGTATTTGATAACAGTCTCCCAGGGTCAGATCCACACAAATTATACATTACAAAACACAGATAGCTGCAGATAGTGATATTAAAAATGGATCTTGTGTATACACACTTTAAAATAAGTTACATTTATTTAAAAATATATACATGTTTATACAGAAACTCTTACAAGGTATTGTATTGAATTTTTGAGGAGGTCAGTCTTGATTCTGGGAAGATTGTGCAAGGCTTCATGGACGTCATAAAAATTTGAGCCAAGGTTAAAGTTTTAGTTGCAAACAAACATTTCACAACAAAGGATGGGGCAAAAAGTTCTCGGGCTGATTAGTGATTTGGCATGCACTGTAACCAAACAGCTTGGGAGTCGACAAAGCCAATTTCAATCACAACATCTTAGCTACGCAGGTCACACAGCGTGATACATGTCTGACAGACGAGTAATGTGAAGAGAAGTGAGAATAGATCCATGTGTCTGATTATGTTACTGCATTTACTTAACCAAAAGTCTGCTTGTTTTTACAGCCTAAGCAGCCATTAAGCCACACTTCTGTTAATGCGTCATGCAAAGTGAAATTCACAGGAATTATGCTTCAGTTACTCAGGTCTGCTCTCCAGTTTCTTACTGACTGTATTTGGTTTGCTTACTTTATGTAACCCATATGTTGAGCAATGTGGAAAAGAAACCAATGACAATAGATTTTAGGTATCACACTAAAAATGATTTTTATCTGCAACACAGCTTCCTGCTAAATATGATGAACACTGTTAATATGACAAATACAAATAAAACAATGATGAATATTTGTCCAAAGTGAACTTCCTGTGCTTTTCTGTGAAACAAACAATACACAAAAGAGCTGTTCAGATACTCTGTCATCATCATCATCATTTTACTATCATCTGTAAAGCATTCAGCGTCTCTGATATCAGCCAGTTTTATTGCCGACTCATTTAAGATTCTCAGCCATTTACTGTCACAGCAGTTAAAATAATTCCCACTAATATACATGAGATTAAGGTGATCAGATAAATTATGAATCAAAGAAAGGTTTAAAGACACAAAGTGGTTGTTTCTTATGTTGATTTCTCTCAGAGGAGAGCAGCTTAAACTGCTGGGAATAATATCAAGATGGTTGTTCGATATGTCCAGCTGAGTTAATGCTGGCATACAGGGTAACGACAGATCAGAGCTGGTCATGTTTATTTCACTGATAATCAAGGACTGAAGAGTTTCCTGCACACCCTCTAGTGCACCTACATGCATTACCATGTGCGGATTTCTTGCAAGATTGAGGGAAACCAAAGAAGTTTCCTGAAATGTGTTTGGATGAAGCATTTTTATATTGTTTTCTTTAAGACTGAGGTGTTTAAGAGTTCTTAACTGCCCGAAGGCAACACAGGATGTGTTGAGATTTAGTTGCTGTGTTGATTGAGAGCTTCCCAAATGGTCCATGAGAGCACAAGGCTGCACAGAGTTGTCTTGTAGATTTAATTTATCTATTTGTGTGAGTGCATTGAGAAAGAACGGTGAAATAAATGCAAGTCCATTGCTCTGCAGCTCGAGGTGCTTTAAGGAGGGAAAGAAAAGCTGCCGACGGATTTCTGAATCACTATAATTTCTAACATTCCAGATAATATTTCGCAGACAGTTGTGACTGAAATTCAGCGTTTTTAAAGAGGAGAGAAGGCTCAACGTCTCCAGTGGGAAAGACCTGAAGTGGTTATAGCTCAGGTCAATGTAAATCAAGGGCATCTGCCTCCAGTTTGCATGTAGGTTATTTTTTCTAACTATTCTCTCATTTGTAATCTCAATATAAAGAGAGTTGGCCTCTGATACCATTGTAGCCTCTGAATTTAAGGTACCAACCATATTATTCTGTAAATGAAGATACCTCAAAAAGTTCCTTTTTGGAACAATTGGGAAATAAAGGAGTTTGTTGAAACTCAAGTCAAGAATTTCAAGCCCATACAACTGGTCATCCTCACGCGTAACAAAAAACTCCAATGAATTTTGACTAAGATTTAGATATTTAACTTGATGTAATTTAAAATCACAGATATGTTCAAGGTTATTTTTGGCCAAGCTTAGCATCTCTAGTTTGGTCAGTGGTTCGAATGTCCCCTGTTCTATCACTGATATCAGATTATCATCAATAGTAATGGCCCTCAGACCTTTACTCTCCTTGAACAAGTTGTGTGAAAGTCTTGTCAAAGCATTACCAGTCATCTTAAGTTGATCAAGAGAAGGTTTGTTTCGAAGGTACAGCTCTGCTGCATCATCACTCAGACCGTTCATTGATATATCCAAACTCCTCAGTCTACTGATGGATTGGAGAGCTTTGCTGTTACTGCCAAGGTTGTTGTTCAGCGCATTTCTGGACAAATTCAACTCTTCAAGTTGAGCCAGATTTTCAAAAGCCCCCTCGGAGATGAGATCCAGCTGGTTGGAGCTCAGGTCCAGCTGCTCCAAGTATGGCAAAACAAGTGTGTGCAACTGTCTGATGAAGTTATTGGACAGGTCTAGTCTTCTAAGTCTTACATCCAAATCCAGGGGGACAGAATAGAGGCTCTGGTTGTTCCAGGACTGCTCCTTGAAATGAAAGGAACATTAATCATAATCAGAGAGTGAACCATGGAAACCAAAGTCAAACAATCTTAGCAGTTTCTAAGATCTCAAAACCAGTAATTGTGCAACTTTATAGACTAAAATAATTGAATAAATTGCAACGATTTTACACATTTTGCACTTAAATTACCCATCTTGAGCCTACCTTTGGATCATCATAAGTCAGTCCAGTTATATAAATGTCCTGGCTGAGTGACCAGAGTAATAGGAGATTGGAGAACATATGTTTGACCATTCTCCCTCTGCTGCTGCTTCTGCTGCTGTTAAACTGCACAGTATCACTACTGTTGTCAGAGCTCATATACACACTCACACACACCCTCTTATAGCCATGCTTCATAAAAAAAAGGGAGAGAGAAAGCAGCTGTGGACACCAGATAGACACCGTGGATACTATATTTAGACAATAAAGGCTTTGCCACTGATATATCACTTTCAATAAAGCTTGAGAAAGCATCTGAGTAAGGACTCTCTAATTTAGATAAAAACAGTTTTTAGACCAAGTTGGTCATATTTCTGTGTTAAATGTAGTCTATTACACAGATAAATACATTTAAATTAGTTAGGGATTCAAATACCAATTGAGAATTTGTTTACACAAGGGAATATTATCACATTTATTACAACTTTAACTTTATCATGATATACCAAAGCATTTACAATATTGAGATTGCATGTTAACCAGGAAAACACATCCTGAGTGATATAAATTTATACTTATATTTGTTCCTGACATAGTCTAAGGGAAACGGAAACCATTCAAAAATAGATGAGGAACAAATAAACAGACAGTGTGGAGGTGGAGCTTGAGGGAAGCAGCTCAGCAAGGTATAAAGAGCCATGCAAAAATAGACTGATGAAAGGAGGTGGCACATATAAACAATGCAAAGAGACAGGCCCAGGTGAACTAGCTGAAAGACACACTTTAACACTTTAAAGCAAAAGAATTTTAAAAGTAGCTTGGTTCAAAAATGAAAAAAAAAAAAAAAAAACCTGACAGATGAGATGGGCAGTTCATTTAAAAAGTCGATTCTGTATTTTCCAGAGATTAATAACAGGTTCCTACAGTCTTCCTGCTGCTGTCACTCAGTCCTTTATCAGCACGCCTTCACACAGCTCAGTGTCAGCTTCCCACTTCCTGAGCTGCACCGGTTATCTTCTTCATTCTGTCTTGTTTCAGTTTAGCTGTATGACACCAAAAAAGGTCGAGTCTGCCTCCACTGAGATGAGGGCTTGGGGCCTGTATGGGATCACCAACTCGAGCTCATCGTTCTGATGCAGCTGCACAATACCTGTAACAGATACATGCTGTTGAAACAGATGGTATCAGGATAGACACAAGATGGGTGATGTTAAAGAGAAAACTGACATAAAGTGCCACAGTAAGGAGTTTTCATTGCTTCAGTGCTTCTTGGCATACACTCTACATGTCTCTCTCTATGTCTCTATAATGTCTAACATATCAATCCACAATCTCCCGTAGGCTGAGATATGGTGACTGTGAAAATGATAGCAGGTGATTAAATTGATTGTCGCATAACCATTCAGTGACCCCATGTGTGGAAGTATCTGCATTTATTATATTTCTCAACTCTTTAATTCATGTTTTTCCTTCAATTTGTCAAATAATTGAAAGACAGATGCTACTTGAACCTATAACTAGCTTTCTTGCCAAGAGTTAGATGAGAAGATTGACGCCACTCACTTCTCTGAACGGTTATTCTGTAGGTGCAGCCAGCAGCTGGTTAGCTTATTTAAGCACAAAGCCTGTTAACTGGGGGAAACAGCAAGTTTAATTAGTCGAGTTTGCTTAATCCATATAAAAACTAAAGTGTAACAATGACACTTACTTTTTACGGGGGTGTGTGATGTGCCAGCCTTTTTCTTGGTCTTGGCCTTAGACTCCAGGAAGTAACTGCTCTGGGCCAAGAAATAGTCTGGCACGTAACCACCCTCACAACCATGTGTTGTTTTTTAGACTTAAGTTTTGTATGTAATGAACAAATGAGATATCTAAGAGGTGCTGGCAGGTGGATTTTGTTAGTTTTGGACGGAGCCAGGCTTGGTTTGTGTTTCCAGTCTTTGAGCTATGCTAAGCTAACTTGCTGCTGGCTACAGTTTTATATTTACTGTGCAGCCATGAGAGTGGTGTCAATCTTCTATCTAAGTTTCAGCAAGAAATGCAAATGAGCATAAATTTCTATTTCTTTAATGCAGAGCAGCAGTAATGCTTCACTGACCTGAAGTGTAGCATGTGTTGGCAGGAGTTGCATCAGGCATCTCTTGCAGGCAGCGCAACACCTCTGTTGATGTCGTCTCTGCATTAGTGGAGCCCAAACTTCGAATAATATAACCCATAACTGTGCTTGGGCTTGTGAACAAAACCTGTGAATTAAGCAGAACATTAGCTGAAAAGCTGGAACAAATCAGATGTAATATCAACTTAGTTATGCTTGAGTTACAGTGACACAATACTTGTCCAAACACCAAGTAATAACCATCCTCTTGGACAACAATTCTGTTTTCCTTTTGTGAAATTGCATTTCCTTGCTGCGCAGAAACAGTCCAAGGGATCACTGTTATATTTCCTATGGGAAAAGGCAAGATACACTTATTCAAAATAATGGCAGACGTTGCGATGCTAAAGCCAAAGACTTGAATTTAGTTTTACCTCTCATGTCTGGCTGTTTGTTAGTGTTAGCAGTTAACTGCAGGAATGATGTTGGAGCTGGCAAGAGGGGGAAATAAACATAATACTTTAATTTTATTAACTTAGCATGTACTGTTTATGGTCTCACTACCAGATTAGACCGTAACTAATGGACACATTTTCAGTTCTCAGCTCCAACCCACCTCTGCAGCTGCCTTGTTCCCGTTTTACTCTCCTTGAAGACATCTTCAGAGAACTCTGAGCTTTTTGGAAAGTACTTGGCTTAATGTCCTATGAGAAAACAAAGCATTAAGAGAAAATTTATTATTGCAGCGTTATCTGAATACTCACTAATAGCATAAATCTCAGTAGTACAATGTCCAAGATGACTCCATCCTACATAATCAGTGACATACCTCCCTTGTTTTAGACATCTTGGCCATTTTCCCATTGACTCCCTCAGAACGTGGCTGATTTAATTGTAGAATTAAGTCCCCTTGGAGTTTTCGAAAATCATTTTCTAAAACACTGGCTCTGTGCACCAGGAAAAGACTAAGACAAAACATAAATGCCATTAGTGATAATAAAGCATTGTAAAGCATACCGAGACTTGCAGACTGGATGTCCTCAAGTTACTCAAATGGGTGAGGTCACACATGAGTTAACCCCGGAAATCAATGTTCAGTTTCAAAACTAGTTTCTAAATGAGGAACTATCTCCTCTCTGCCTCTCAAGATGGATTTCATTTAGATTCTATGAAGATTATGGCCAAATTGCAATGTATTGTGAAACTTGCAGTCAAAGTAAAAGCCACGTTTTAATAAAGACAAAGGCCTCACTCAAAGAACATCATTTGTTCTTGTCAGTACTTGTGCCAGCAGAGTCCAATATGAAAGAGAAGTTTTAACCTTTTAAATCAATACCACCGGCTGCACAAACAAAAAAGACAGACAAATGCCTTTAGACAGAAAATGAAACATTTTAATCCATCAATCAACTCCATTTACAAAAGTATATCCCATTTTATATACAATATGTACAGAGACGTATAAACAACTATCAGTTTTCCACATGGATTCACTCATATGGTAACTAAACAATAGCACTGTAACAAAACATATCACTGGTATTCTGCAGGGATGCTGTAGTGCAAATGTGTGCAAAATATATAGTGCTGTTGCTCTGTGAATACCTTATAAATCCAGTTTTAATGGGGTTTCTCAGCTTTGCATAGATACCTTTGTCCTTGCTTTGAACATTTATATGCTCTTTTAATCATTTTTATAACCCAGGGGCATATGGAGCTTTAAACCCCTTGTTAAACCACTCACTTATAACTGTTAATATAATTAAATTAATTAAAAAGGCCAAGTATACAAACTGCAAATAAAACATTTCAAATAGCTGGTGTTTTTGGAGATACAAGATTATCATTCAACAGCACTTAAAAGTATGTAAATATTAAGTATCTGTCAGCGCAGTGTCCTTCCTTGTTATAAAGAGAGATGCTGTCTGTATTGACACAAAATGGTGACTATAAATAGAAACCTTTGTTTGATGAGGACACGTGGCTCATCAAGGCTGATCTCTTTGCACAGAATCAATGTGAGGGGAACCATAACAGTCTATATTGTCCTTTTTAATACAGAGCTGTGAACGTGAACTAAAGTCACCCAGGGGCTCCCTCAACTTTAATAACCTAGAGGATTTAAGTGCCCTCTAAACAGGGGCAAGACACGGGCTAGAAGTTGCTTCTAAAAACAGTTCTAATCAATTCATAAATCCTAGATCAGGCAGAATGGTAGGACAGTATCACTCTGGACTGATTTGACCGTTGTGAGCAACTTTTTCATTTCTGTGGAGGCCTGGTGGCTGTGTAGTTATCAGTTCTGTCCAGCAGATGGAGCCTCTCCTAGTCTGACACTTCCCAGGAAGGTGGTGTGGTTGGTCATACTGATGAGTGTGTCCTCGTACACTATGCGTATGGAGATCCTCTGGCCGGCGCGAAGCAGGCTCACCCCAGCCGTGTAGCAGGTGTTGAACTTGCGTTGGCCTGTCTCGATGCTGCAGGTGCAGCGGAGGAACGGGTTGGAGTCCACCATCACCTCATAGCTGGCAATGTCGGTGAAGTTGAGGTAGTACACCTGGTGGAGAAGGGAGACATAAAATTCACAAAAGACTGAGAGGGGTAGTCAAAACAAGTCCACATAATATTTAAGAGCTCATTTAAAGCTGAAACAGCTGGAATATCAGAGTGGCCGACAAGGATTTGAGTTATAGAGCTTCACATTTAGCCACAGGGAGTGGGGAAAAAGAAATATGTCTCATAATATAAATCAAAGAAATTACAGATAAGCAAAGCGAGCAGGTTTTTAAGCTTAACTACAGAACAACTGCCAGTTCTTTTGACTCTGAACTGTAAATTTTAAGAGTTACGTCAAGGACCGTACTCACTTCTACCTGACTATATATGAAGTAGACACCGTCCAACAGCACCTCTAGCTCTCCAGAGCGAGGGTGCATTTTAAACACGCGGTGATGGATGGACACCATCTTCCAGTTCCTAAGGATGCCTTCAGACAGATCTAAACATGTCACAACAAACAAAAACAAAGAGGCAAGCAGTCAACATAAACAGCTTTCAGCAGGGTTTAACTACAACCAGAGCTCATCACTGACAGAAAATATAAACCTGCTAATGATGCTTACACTCATTTCAGACAGACTGACTGATGCAGGGTAAGCTGAGCCTGCTAGCATGCGAGGCTTCTGCTCCTGACCTGAGTTAACATGGGCCTGACTTAAAACATAAGCCTATAACTGTTTGCTAATCCTCTAATAGCTATAGGATTACATTAGGGTTACTATAATCTTACATAATCTTTCAGTAAATATTGATATTAACATTTAGCCCTCTAAACCATAAGATCTTAGGTTCTGTAGGTGACTGCATCAACTTTCCATAGGGTGATCAAATAAAGAAAAGAATATCTGGCGTAAACATTTTAAAAATCAACCAAATGTAGCCAAAACAAGGTGTTGAGGTTAAGCAGTCACGTGTATTAGTACAGTTGCGGATCCAGGACTTTGACAGCGATTACACATGTTTATTGTTTTGTGTCAAACACAGTGGTGTAACTACAAATGAGCACAGACAGAAGGCCCCACCTTCTCTAACTTGGATGGTTGTTTCCTGCCCTTGTAAATGAACGACTGCAGGCTGAAAAACAAAAAAGATCTCTGGTGACTAATCTGGACACACATTAAAACAGGAGAATGGCTGTTTTATCTGGGATTTAGTGTGGGATAAAATTAAATTTCAATAGGTGACACACTCTACCTGGAATTCCTTTGTTTTCGTCTTATCGAGTACCCCTGCAACAACAGGAGAGAGACATGATAAAATTCTGGCCTTCAACATGGCAGAGGAACAAAGAAGTGATGAAGATTAAAGCAAAACAAACACTGACATAGTTTGAAGATAGATCACTGCTATCCCACACAGTGTTTGACATCCTGAATCAGTAACTCACACTGTGCAGACAATGAGTTCATCGATTTTGACAACTTGAGCCCCTTCTAGTGTGGGAATATCTCTACTTTCAGGAAAATACTGTAATCTAAGAACAAATCTCTCAACTTTTGGGTGTTTTCAGGATCTCTGGCTTGAGTTTTGGCTATCTCAGCGTGTTATCGTGTCATTTCTATTTTAAGTTTTATACCTGCTGGACCTTGCGCGCCCGGAGGTCCCTGTGGCCCAGGAGGTCCAGGGGGTCCTGCAGGCCCCACACCGATGCTTCCTGGAATACCGGGGATTCCAGGGATGCCCGGTGGCCCCTGTGGGCCCGGGGGACCAGGGGGACCAGGGGGCCCCGGCACAGACCTTTTCTTCCCTGTAAAGAGAGAAAGCAAAAATGGTTGGCAAACTGAAAAACCGAGGATGTTAATCTTTTGACTGTCAAATCAGTTTCATTTATAAAAGCCAAAATAACAAATTTGCCTCCAAGGGCTTTACGATCCACTCAACTTCTGTACAGACTGTAAACTCTGATATGAAGGGCCGCAAGAGTCGGGAATAATATCAGAATTTTTTCAGGTCGGACAGAGTCAAATATTGAAAGCTTGTCATTTACTTTAAGCAAACACCATGACTGGATTTTGGATGACATCTCAAGAACACTTCCAGAAACCTGACGGCAGGTTGCAGTCTAAACAATACCAAAAAAAGTGGGAAGTGAAATTTAGGCTGAATTTTGAAATACCTTTTTTCTTCTCTTTCCTTTTTTCCTTTCCTGTCGATTCTGTAAGAAACAAAAACAGTGTGATTAAGCTTGAAATGGTCTCCTGAACAATTATCATCTCAGATAACATCTCGGGTATCCAGCTCATTCCATGTAGGTATCCTAAATAGGCTAAAATAACAGATTCAGATGTTGTGCGCTGAACACTGGAGTGGAGGTATGTCAGTCTGTGGTATCTTCTAGTGTAGTAATTTGTAAGTGTGGTTTCACCTCCTCTGTATGAACAAGTGCCTTAAGCATTCACAGGCAGTGGAACTGGAGAAGATCATTAGAGAGATACTTTATCCTGCCAAAATCCTTTTCTTTGAATTAAGCCCAGATGGAGAATGTAGATGAAAGTGTGTGTGTGTGCGTGTGTGTGTGTGTGTGTGTGTGTGTCTCCCCTTTACAACCATGTGTATGTGTGTGCGTGCATGGATGTTGGTGGGGCATCTATGTCAGTGCTTGAAAGACAAAATGCACTTAGTGTGCTGCTGCGTGTGTGTCTGCTCCGTGTGCAGCTGAAGAATCCTTTTCAAAAAGCCGTCTCGCTGTTCTTGTGTTTACCATGTCATTACAACTACAAAGGCCATTTAACCTTAAAACCTCACAGTTTGAGTCCCCCTCAAACATATGGCCAGTGTTTCTCCTCTGGCTAAATGACTGGATGCATCCGCATAGATTTCTCTTAACGAGCAGCCCTATCTGGAATCTGGTGCCCGTTAGGAGTGCTGAGAACACACACACACACACACACACACACACGCGTGCACACACACAAGCACACGCGCGCACACACACGCACGCGCGCACACACTCACACACTCACACACTCACACACACACACACACACACACACAAACACACATCTAAGGCTGAGATTACAAAAGCCTTTGTCTGTGCGCTGAGAGCAGAGGAGAGACCTGGGAATGATTAGTGTTTAGAGGCTCGGGACTTTGCTGATTTATGTAGAAAGTCTCAAAGGTGAGTTTTTTCTTCTAATTTAAACACAATCACTAAACTTCCCCCCAAGTATTCAGTGTCACGCCACAGACATTGGAATGCCTTGTGATCATGCTGCACTTGTTGCACTCAGACATGAAACTTCAAAGGCTTTGCTTTTTTATTTGCATAGCTCACATTCTAAACAAAAACTACAAAAGCAAATTCAGACATATTGGCCAGATGGTTTTCTGTGGAGCTATTGATTATGATTTATCAATTTGGTGGAATTAATGAAAGCCATCAAAGTCTCAGATGATAGCCCATACACCCACCTGGTTCTGTAAAATGACCTTGTTCTCAAAAGTGATGTTTTTTTTTTTTTTTGTCTTATTTTCTGACAGTTTGGGCCTGACCGATAACACAGATGGATTCCAAAGCCTTAATCTGCTTAGCTGACAGATACAAAAGATATTTTGGGGACCTGATATTATTTTGAGATGGGGGAAATCAATGCGGGCTTTGCTGTCTGTTTCAAATTGGTGAAACCCTCCCAAACCCCTTGTTGTCCTTGTTTGCTATCCAAGTAATAATCAGTCCCATTCTATTTAATCTCTTGCTCTATAAACTCAGCAACATTATGTGGTGCAGCACAGAGCAGTAAAAAATCAATTCCACAAAAAAGTGAGAAACCATTAACAAACTGTTTTCAAAATTTAACAGCCTTAAGCCCACCATAAGCCGGTTATTTACACTGTACTGAATCTCCTCCAAACACACAAAAGTTACAGAAACCTCTTGCTTGTTTGGTACATATCCAGAAAATAGACTGATGCAGGTGCACCAGAGAGCAGAGTGTGTGTGTGTGTGTTTTTTCATCATTAAATGTACTGAATTTAAAGTTAGAGCCTGAAAAATATAGATGGGGAGACAATAAAGCTTAAGTATCAGCATATGTCTGTGTCAAGGTGTGAGGATAAGAGACACAACATGATGATAAATCCTGAAGGAAAAAAAAAAAAACCTGGTACCTGTCTCTGGCTGCTTGCCGGGACTCCTTTTCGCTCGCTGAGTTATGCCCCTGTTATCCTCTGTGGCATGGAAGTCGCTATTTCTGTGCAGTAACCTCTCCTGGTGAAAAACAAAAGAAAATATTAGAAAATATTGAAAATTCCTATTGCATAAAATTCGAGAGTGATTACTCACCGTGGACACAGAGACCACCTTATATTAATTCCATGAAGGAAACAAAAGCAATGAGTGATACAAGTTTTTGAGAGCGAAACCCATGTTTCAAGTGGCCTTTCTATTCTTGGGGTATAATGTTTGCACAGGGACAACTTGGGACATTTGAAAAGATGTGAGACACTGTCAGCCAGCACATTCATTTGTGGCCAAGTCATTGTCTGTCCCACTGGGGCTGTAACCTATCCTGTAACCCAAGTCACTTTTGTCTGTGTTTCTGCCGTTTGAGACAGTCACCTGGACACGACTGCTCTAAAATTCACCTTTTTATACAAAAGGAGGGTATGAATTGTGGTTAATCTGAGAGCAATACCCATTCACATGGCACCTGGTCCCAACCCTATTCAGAGATAGCGTGAATAAGCTAAAACAACGGGGAGAAGAAAGAAAAGGATCTGATGGAGCTGGTCTGAGCTCATCCCTAAAAACAGGAAAAAGGCTATGCTACAGTGGTAGGGTGTTCCCATGGGCCAGCGAGTGGCGGGACAAACCGCATGCCTGTGTTCTTATGTGACTGGTTCTGGTTGACCTACATTCACATGAACTCTGTGGGACGTGCTGACCTGACTGTGGCACGCTCGAGACATGAACGGCTCTGACAACAAAATATTTCATGCACAGGATTTGGAGTCTAAAAAACGCAGATTGTTCAAAGTCACTTTCTGTTAGAAGAGCCAGTTTGTGATCACATCTCCTTGGAGGATTCCCAGAACCCGATAGACAAAGGAACGCGGCACTGGAAACACAACAAGGCCACCCAAAGCCCTCTTTTCGTCGAGCCTCGCAATATTACGAGATCACTTTCGGTCACACTTTGGAGTGTCAGCATAAATAATGGTAAGAGCGTGAGGTATAAAAGGCTGAGGACAGACGACCAGACAGCTTGTATTGTGCTGGACATCTGCTTGGAGTTTGTGTAACTGACATCTCCAAAGCAGTGACACGTGCAGCACCTTAGCATGGATCAAAAGATAATAAATACCAATGTATCATTCATTCTGCGGCGAATGAATCAGACATGGTTACTGACAGACACTTTGACCTCTCTCGTTCCATGGGGGGTTTATCCCAGTTGAGGATATGAGATGACATATTCCATGTTTCCATCAGTGAAGCTCAAGTAAACATAGTTGTTAAACCCCCCCCCCCCCGCCGGCGAGAAATCTCCTTCTCCCGAAAGCAGCGTGAACTCCCAGTGCCTCTTTGTGTGGTTTTCGAGCAGAGCCACTGAAAGATCGTAAGAAGACAGACAAGAAAAGTTATGTTTCGAGTTTCTTCTATACCTCGTCTCAGATGTGGGAACCCCCCCCTGCGGTGAAGGATGAGCTGTATCATGTCAAACACCCCCCGCTGGCTGTGTTGGGCAAGCTCAGAGTATTTAAAGTCTACATCCCTGACCAGCTGCCAGCCATGTCTGACCTTATAAGCACGGGAATTCCAGCCTGATGGAGGAGTATGTGTTGGAATGGTTTATCGACACACACAGACCTCCAGATGTTCCCGCAAGCAGCGACGTTTGCTGTTCATTTGGTGCGCAGGTGTCTCCACATCTCCTCTCCAGCTGTTGGCATATAGGGGGCTTTTACCTCTCAAAGGATTCTGGGTGTATGTTCAGGCATATGGCATTACACTTTCGTCTGTTCTGACAGCCAAAAATGATTCAACAGCCAATTTCTGGCCCGAGATTAAGCTCCAGCAGAACGACAAAAAACAAACAAGCAATCTGCTAGGCTACCACCAAACTGGTGTGGCTGGTGTTGAAGATGAAGGCAACTAAGTGATTTAAAGAAAAAAAGAAAAGAAAAAAAGTATACCATTATACGACTATAAGAAATGGTTTTGTGCCCTTCTTTGCTTCATTTCACTTCATTACAACATTTACAGCCTTCATACCCTTCAAAGGCACGCAGAGTTACAGTAAATCAGGATGACAATGTGTTGGTATGTATGCCAAGTGCCAACTATTGAGTAAACCATTCTTTTTCAGCACGAGGGAAAAAAAATGCTATTAATTAGAGGGCTTTCAAATCTTCAAAGCGTGGGGGGGTGCTGTTACGCTCACAAGACGCGATTCCCCGTTGCTCCGTGAGGATATGACTAAAATTCAGTCACCTCAGGGATGTGTAATTTTCTGATCACAAGATTTCTTTTTGCCCTATTAACACTTCCTATTACAGCTTTTATTTCTACCCTTCTCTGCACTTATACTACTGAAATTCCCTGACATTCATACCATTTCAAACTGATTATGGTAATAAAATGCAAGAGCTTGTTTATTCTTAAACCATCATGCCTTCAGACCTGCTTCAAGCTCACATTTTCTCCACAAACAGACATTTGTGGCAACAGTAATGCCTCTAATTTCCACAGCTCGTCCAAGATTTCATCACTAAATTGCGGTTAAGAATGTGAGGTTACAAAAGTTGAGGAGGTGAAACTGAGGGCTGGTGGCTAAGGGTGCCAGATGGGTGCCCATCACCGCAGTACAGGCATTACTAACTTTAATGGCATGCATACTGTTTGAGAACTCAAGTCTCATAATACTCCTGTGATTCACACTCCTGGGCAGAACAATGACAGCGTGTTTTCCTCTTAAATATCACCAAAAAGGAGTGTCCCTGCCTCAGCCAATATCACACACTGTTCTCTCGAAGGCCATGTGTTTCAAACCATAACTTGGGTAATTTAATAACAGCTTCCATAGATTGTCATCGAAAAAAAAGCTGTGGAGCTCAACCTAAGGGAAATGTTGCCTGTCAGCAGCCAGTCACATTTCAGATTCTTGCAACACTTGCTGGCAAAGTGATGCCGAGCTCAGTGCCGTGAATGCCTTGAGAATTTATTATTTTGGTGGATGTTTGTGACTCTGGACTTAATCTTTACTGGGCGTCTACTTCATCTGTCTGTCAAGACAATTCAGTCTTATATGGAAACGTTTGCAGCCTCTTATCGCTGATGTTTCTACCTCCCCTGCCTTATACTTTTATGACACTTGTGCCCACACTGATTAAACCCTGATATGTAGGCTTGCTCTATCTGTACATATGATACTGCCATTTGAACTAATCATGCACTGGTCACAATTAAAGTACATGTGGGTGATAGCCCACCCCGGACCCCCAGAGCATGTATGCTGCTGAGGACTTTGTGTCCCATCAAACTGACTTTTTTAATAGCCGTTAACTAGACTCCAGATGTTTCAGCATCTGTTCTTTGTGAGGCTTTGAAGGCATACTTCAGAGGAGAAAATTATTTCATATAAGGGTTGTAAGAAAAATGTTAGGCTCAAGAAGAAAACACAATCCGAGCTAACACAATTCTGTGGATTGAATTTCATTATGTTTTACTTACTGAGGTCGGCCGACTGTGAGTGACACTAATTCACTCATGCCCTGCATCACACTCGTACCTCGCACTTCAGAGCAACACACACCTGGGAGGGGCTTTTTACTGTTGGGAACTGGGCAGATCTACCGGACAGCTGGGATTTACTGCCTTGCTCAAGGGCATACCAACTGTGACTGTTGAGTGGACGAGTGTTTGTTCACTTCCCAGACCCACATCGTAAATGACCAGATCATCTGCTCTCATTAAGAAGCAACTACAGGCATCTGAAAAAGTGTGAGATGTTAAGTGGTACATAACGTTTAACTGCAGGTCAGAAATGAGTGAATTTCTCCAACAAAGACCTCACCAACGTGTTCCTGACGCTTTTATTCTATATTTTCCTGTTACAGTGAGTCTTATTGCTGGGGAAATATCAGAGGATCTATAAACCTTTCAAGTGGCAGTTTAGATAACAGAGCAATACCGTTTCTATTTCAGCTCTTACATCTGAGAAAACAGATGAAATAAAATTTTTATAGGTATCCTGTCAAGTATAGATAGGCTCAAATTGTGTTATATTGTTACAAATTTGGTTTGATAGCATTTGCTGTTGTGTCTTGTTTTCTTTATTTGCTTCACACCACCCCACAAATCAAGTTACAAGCAGTCCCTCTTCTGTTCACACAGAGATTCTCAAAACTGATTAGAGACTTGGAGCATTACAGCTTATACAGCCAAGGTCCTTATTTGGCCACAATAACTCTCTTCAGATCAGGTGTGTACCTATAAATTATTCCAAGTTTCAGTACAAAACACCTGATCCTAACTGCTCCACTTCAGCAGAAGACTGTAAAACAAGTGACGGGGTGTGGTTGAAGTACAAGAAGACAAAAATTAGATAAAAATGTATTAAGATCTGAACAATAATAAAACTAAAATTTAATGCCACTAGACTAAAACTAAATTTGCCTCCAGAATAAAACACAGGACTGTAAACTGGAGCCAAAGGAACCATAAACGTATGCATTAAAACATTTACAGAAGAAAAAACTTTGCTGCTATCAATAAGCAGTTTTGATATTTACAGCTTAAAACTTTCTATTTTAATCTTTCTTTTTTTTTTCCAGTTAAAAGAAGCTTCATCCTCCATAATACCGTAATCTGAATTGAGCAAAAGTTCTCTTTCCACTCTGTTTAACTCAAGAAGCCACTAAACAAGACAGTTGTGCCAAAAAAGTGTCTTGATTTCCACTGGGTGCACTGTTTACCAAGGTTGATTTATGCTTGACGCTGACCAGCCCAGTTGAAAGCTGACACGCACTAAATTCAGTGTGCAAAGCTGTTTTTGCATGATGAGGAACCACACCATTTGTATTTTACAAAATAAAACTCAACCGCAAATCAGAACAAGTCCATCTGAAGAGAGGTCACACACTACTGATATTTCAAGACAAGGCCTATGCCTATGTTTGTATATTTGTTCCTATACCTGATTGTTTAAGCTTGTCTTTGTTTTCGAGTTAGACTTGTCATGTACTGTTACACTTGTCTGTATACCTGCACATCACATCAAATTTCACTGATGCTGCTGAAGTGCCTTTGATGAAGAGCTGTGTGAAAAATCCAATAAACAATTTTTAGCTGTACAAAAGGGATTCTTCAAAGGAAATGCCTGAAAAGCTAACAAGTGCGGCCGCTGCGTCCAAATGCCACATGCTCCTGTTTCTCCAACTATGTAAACTGTGGGATGTGTAATCAGAGTTGTTTAATGCAGACATCTGGCAAGGACAGCATCACAGCGCTGTTAAATATTTACAGCTGGGCTACAGTCTTTCACCTCATGAAGCGTCACCATCTGGGTTGAATACCAGGCCCATCTAACTCGGTCCTAACCAGGGAAACCGCTACTATCTAAAATAAGCTTAGCAAAGGACACACTAAGGACTAAATGAATAGGTTGAGCTTCCCACTTGTGAAAGGAAAATGTTACAGAGCAAGCCCCAATACTTTCCTACGGAGAAATAAACGCCTCCATCCTTAATAACCTAAATTCCTCTGAATGACTATCAAGTAGACGGTTCTGCACAGCGAAATGTCCAGCCAATGCTCCACACACAGAGGATCAATTTCTCTGCAAAAAAGGTTACACAACTGGTGACATATGAGCTAATTGAGCAAGCAATGCAAAGTTGAGACCTACACTTGGTCCCTTTGTACTGATGAAATTAGGGAGTGTGTGGCGGTGCTGGTGGTGGTGGGGCTGTTGCCAAAGCCACAGACAACACAATGAACATTCAATCAGCCCGCTGCCAGAAAAGAAAACACATGTGAGACGGGCTGGCTCTGCTCCAAGTACCAACTGCCCCATCTAAGTCCTGATGAATTTACATCAGCCCTTGGGCTTTGCACCTGCTGGTGATCCAGTTAATTTTCCGTCCACCTGCTCGAGCACACTGACTGACCCATCTCTGTGAATCCAGCTGGGCAGCCTGCCTACGTTTTTAACATCAACCTCTGTCTGCTGAGGGGGAGCTCTGGAAACAAGACAAATTGAGTTAAATGTGGTTTGATTACAGAAAAATAAAAGTCATTTCAGATGTGAATTATTTTACTGAAGGACATTGTTTAAAAGTCAGGTTCTTGTTTTGTTAAGGTAGAATTTGGACCATACTATCCTAACTTCCTTGATATACCCCCCCACCCCCCCACCCCCCTGGATGTGTTTACCTCAACATTGGCCAGGTGACAGACTTGAAGCTTATACCTCTGCGCATCTTTGCCCAAAGAGGCTGAATCACGCACACGGGAGCGATAATTCAAAAACATATTTGTGTGTAAACGGAGCTGGCAAAACTTCGTGACAGGCTACTGTAAAATAAGTTGCCCAGAAACATGCCATAACAGAGCACAGACACAAAACCTGACACCGTGATACGGGAACAGGAGGACTGAACGGAGGTGAATGAACACGAACTGCCTCCGTGTGAGGAATGAAAACAATGTCGTGTTAAAGAAGCTGATCTTCATTTAGCTTTGTGTTTTTTTTTTTCAATTTTTTTTACGGTTTCATTTTATTGTTGGATGTTTTTACCTCATGACCCTCTCCTCCGCCGCGGCTGCTGCCGGAGTCCAGTCGCGGGTGGCCAGGCGAGGAGAGCACCGCCGCCGGGTCAGCCAGGTCACTCCCCGCAAGTGTCAACATGGAGTCCCGCTTCTGGTGGATAATTTCCCTTTTGACTTCGGACCGCAGGTCCAAATAGCAGACGAGGGTGACAGCGTGCAGAGACAGCGACAGCAGGAATAATCCCAGGAAGACGACACTGCTGCTCCGACTCCTGCACTTCTTGTTGCACGTGCAGGGAGCCGCTCTGGGCATCACTTTGCCCGGGAAATCCTCCGCGGGTGAACCATCGCATGCCATTATCGGACGGAGCGCGAGTCAGATGCTCTTTATCTCGGCATAATCAGCTCGTATGTCTCGCGCGGGCCGCGGCTATTCATTAACGTGGAGACTCATAGGTGCAGCAGCAGCAGCAGGTCGACGCAAACTTCTTCGAGTATCTGTAGTAACAATGGAGACCCGCCTACCTCCTCTGTGATTGGTCCGGGACAATTACGAGCCCAGACGATCCGGGCCAGAGGTTGAGGGCTGGATGCACCTAGGTGTAGTAGTCGAGCGACACCTAACGGACAAAGGGAGCTGCTGCAACTCCTGTGGGATGCTGATACTGAGAGGATGTTGTGAGAATATTCACTACTTTATATCTGTTTGCCGTTCACAGTCTTGTGTGATTATTATTCAGCACTTTAGAAAACACATTCCGTGATCCTCCTAAATTGATTTATCCTCTGTCGTGTGAGTGTGAATGGGAAGGGGCGGTCACTTATGTAATGTATATTGTTTATGCATGTGTTTTATGTGTTTTAGGTTTTGGACGTGCCATTTTTCATGGGTGTGCTTTGTTTGGCGCTTTGTTTTGTTGTGTGTGGGTGGCACATGGGTGGTGGTGCATGGAGTGGTGGTCATGTGTGAAGAATTGATTCAAATCCCTAGTAAATATTGCCCAGTGTTGTTATTGAAAAAGAACAAGCGGTTGATGATTTCATCATATCATCAAAGGGTGGAAAAGTATTACAAATTATACTCTTAAACAGACTACACATTATATAATTATATTTCATTGCATCTGGACCCTGTCAGTCTCAACAATGTGATAGCAGCCCTGGAAGAGAATCAGTGTCACAATGAGGTCAGCACCACTCTGTGTACAGCACCATCAAATACTCTAAACACGTGTCACTCAGCTGGACTGGGGGAATAGTTTGACATTTATGTTTTCAAAAAAGCCAGCTGAGGACAATGCTTTAACAAGATTGAATGTGGCACTGTGGTTTCCACGTTTTCAACATCCAAAAGCCGACCGTAGTTTTGTTCTTTTCAGATGTAGACACTTTGATCTCTGAGGCAAGAAACCAGAGGTAGCCTGCAGATCAGTCCGTCCTTGAGGCTTGAGATGATGAAACCGGTGCACTGAGCGGGGCTGAAACTCAGGCGCTTGATGGAATGCCAGCTTAGATTAGTTTTCGGGCAAGTGCCACAAAACATCTGTCTTTATTTCTTTGGGACAAAATCTGACATTTGCCTGCACTTGACCTACAGAGAGGTACGCTCTTTCATGATATGAGCTCACGCTGATTAATTGCTGGTTTTCACTTGGTATTGTGGTTGGAAATAATTGAGAAGAATGACTTTTGGAGATCAGAAAAAGGTTATTTCATCACTGTGAAATGTTTTCAGCATGAAGTTGATTACTATAAGAAGGTGAGAGTCTGTTACTATATTTCTCTGGGTTTATTCTGACCTTACTGCCCCTGCATCACAGCCTTTTTCTCCTCAGCATGACCAGTTACATTCCTCTTGTGCCGAAAAAAGTGATTCTAGTCAGCTGCCACTGAAGGGCAGCATTGCCAAGCCATAAATCAATAACACTGCATACCAGTGTTTTTATGAACTTGAATTTAAAACATAAAATAGCTTGATATTGGTTGAATAATTAAATTTAAATACATTCTGTTTTTTATGTTCCGTGTGTTTAGCTTTTTATAGTTTCTCTGTCCACTATTGATCTCAGATGAAGATCTTCCTTCTTTCTCTCCCGGGAAGTCACGTCTCCATTGTTAGACTATAAGATAGTGAAATCGAAGAGAAAAAGACATTCAAAGTAACCCTCACAGGGCCTGTGACTGAGGGCTCAGCCTAAGCATGTTTGCCACGCTTTTCATCCAAGCAGAAGGCACAATGACTTTGAGAGGCAGATAATTCAGGACTGGAATAGTTAGGCACATGCATCTCACATGCACCATAATTTCAGCCCATTTTTAAAAATGGCTCGTGTATGTAAGAGGAGTTGCTTTAGGCTTTTCCCTCCATCAAATTTAATTGTAAATCATTTGTCATTGTTTGTTTTTGTGTGAAGAAGAGGTCAGGCGGCCCTGAGGAAAAGGTCGAACTTGACATAATGCCACTGTTTGAGTCACCTCCGTGTTTCCTTGTCTCAGACGACACAACATTAAAACCTGTGACAATTAAAATCAGTTTTGTCATGATTGGGGTTTTTTTTGGCATCGAAAAGAGCAATAATAATTCTTATAACATCCCCTGGGCTTCAGTGCAGCGTTCATAAATGGTGTGCCACTCTATCCTCTCTGAGCTTATAACAAGATTTAGAGGCTTTCCCTGCCAGATGATAGAGTTTTGCAGGAGGAATAGGCACATATATTTTACCACGGAGAGCTGACTGGTGGGCTGAGGCTTGTGGCTTCAACAAGCTGTTGGAGGATGATGGCTGCTTGGTCTCTGCTAAAGAGGTGCTATCTGTAAATGTATCCTTTCTCTTATACTCATTGATAAAAGAGCACAAATCAAAACCAACTTTCAATTGCAATTATTAGGAATCACATATGAGCTAAAGTCATTCAAAGCTAATAGAATAATACTGTTACATATCACAGTAAATTGTGTTAGACCTCCCCACCCATATATTACCTTCTCTGGTGTCATTGTTTCTGCACATTGGATTGTGGAGGTGTAACCTTGGCTAATTGATATGCTGTGGCATTTGATTTCCTACCTATAAATCTCCTGTAAATTGGACCATGTCTCCCATTTCCCTGAACAATGATTAATTTATTCTCATTGTGGGTGTCTGTCTTAAGAGTACTTATGAAAGACCGGAGAGCTCTCTTTACCTCTCTCTCTCTCTCTCTCTCTCTCGTCTGTCTCTCTCTCTCTGTCTTTTTGTACTGTGCTGCTTTTGTGCCATCACCTCGCTCCCTCTGCTTCTTTCTATTTGCTGACTGTTGTGTGCAACTCAGTGTAAAAATGCTGTGGGTAAACTTAATTGATTATTTTTTATTCCACACAGAATTGGTGCAGTTTAGTGGCGTTTTTAGCATGCATAGGGTTGCTCTGTGTGTTTTTTTAAGGCATGTTCAGGGGAATCAGCAAACAATACCATTTTAGAATAGGATTTATTCATTCACTGTCTTTGTTTTTATATTGTTCTTTACAAGTCGTGCCTTTAATGGATAGTGCAGGTACAGGCAGCAAACATGGGGTATTCAGATCTTTTACTTAAGTAGCAATACTACAATGTATAAATACTCTTTTACAAGTAAAATTCCTGCATTCATTCTTACTCAAGTAAATGCCACAAGAATTACCAGCAACATTTTCTTAGAATATCAAAAGTAAAAGTGTGATACCTCTCAGTGTTAAATTAGTATTTTTATAATTATTACTGACAAATTTACATGTCCATCATTTTTCATGTTGTAGCTGGTGGAGGTACTATTTTTAAATCCTAAGCTATAACAATGCATCACATTTTCTAAACAGAATTAACATTATCATATGTAGATTTAAAATCAGCAGTGTTGGCAGCTACAGCTCTCAAATAAATACACAGTTTTTTTTAGAAAAGTCTAATGTTTCCTCATAAATATAGTGGAGTACTAGTATAAAGTGATAGAGAACAGTTGCCTAATTAGACGCTGAACAAAGAACAGAGCAACATTAGCATTCAGAGTCATGTTTCCAGTCCGATTTTAACTCTTCTTTTAGCTCTGATTTTGGTCTCCTGAGGGAAATATGTGGCTCTTTAAGCTGCCACAGGCTCTGTTTCATTCACCAGCTAATCAGTAACTTTATCTGTCTGCCATTTGGTCTTGGGCAAGTAGCATTCATTTTGGTTTATCAGAGCTTTTATGTTGAAAAATGCTTCCTGCTGATGCTAGAAACGATGCTATTCGAGTAGTGAGACGGAGGGACAGTAAAGTTGCGAGCCACAAAACCAAAACTGAAAGATGCTAAAACGCTCTACAGACCTGAGGGGAACTGTCAATTCTGGTGATAATTCTCTGTGGGGTTTTCACTACAATGGGCACCTTTCACGTTACACAGTCATTTGACCCATTGTTAATGTAAAAAATATTAATTAGTGCAGCTTTAAGAAAAGTATCGAATAAATGTACTAAGCTGAGTTCCTCTTTCAATAAATATCGACTGCAGGAGTCAGTCTCAAGGGGACAGCTCAGAATCAATGATGTATATCATCAAATAGTCCCCAGATAACCAATGCAAGTTAAAGTGAAACTGCAAAAGTTCCCATCCCTTAAACTTTATACACCCCTTTGTATAAGTGTCTGTCTCTAAAAGCAGTTTCTCACACGCCAGGTTTTCACTGTTTAAGGCAATTTATTAAACAGTGATGTTTTGCTGTAAAGGCTGTAATTTTTTGCCTTGCCTCAAGCTCAGCAGCACTCCTCTGGAGTAACCTTGTCTTTTACACTGCAGCAGCATCAGCAGAGACACGATTCTGTAATTGAATTTATTAATGAAAAGCAGAGGACCTGTGAGACACACAACACACTCACATGACAGAGTGAGGAGCTGTGCTGATCATCAGTTGCTTCCCAGATATCAAAAGAAACCAGAGTAACACCATACACTACACTTCCCCTTGTTAATGCTTAATTAACCAATGATTATGCATTAATTAATTAGAACCACCAGTTTTTTGTTGTTGTTGTTGTTGTTGTTCTTAAAGATACAGGCTAAGGTGAAAAATACTGAGAAAAACAAACAAACAAACAAATAAGCTTCAAAAAGTCGCCATATGCTACCTGCCCAGCAATAAACAGACAAAGTAAGCAACTTGCTGGTGAACATATGGAGCATGTGTCTGTTAAACACTCAGATATTTCCCTCCGGGGGTCTGGTGGCCACAAAAACACAACTCTAAATGAATGCTAATGATAGCCCATGAATGTGTACATAGGCAAGTGTTTGCTAACATGTTCAACACAGCAACTTTATGAGGTGAAAATGTAAAATTCTTTCAGTTGTGTTTACATTATTGCTGCTTTAAAGTACTTACTTAGTTATTATACTGAATGCGTTAGCAAACACTTGCCCATTTAAGCATCTAGCAAATGTGAAGCAGCTTAAGCATTTATTTGAAAATCATATTTCTGGCCACCTG